GCCAACCTATCGCAAACACCCCGCAGACACCGGTGTCGATGATCGGAACGATCGGGTCGGGCCCCTGTCGTCGCAACCCCGTTACCCCTCACCCCGCTGCCCTTTGCCCTCCCACCCCCCTCCCCCCCTCTTGGGAGTGAGTGGTGGGATGCAGGTGGTTGGGAGTCTGTGCGAAGTTGGGAGTGGGAGGTGGGAGGTGGGAGGACTGCGGGAAGAGGCGGGCGACTTTTGCCGTGAATCGAAACTGAATATCGATGTCGATCGTATCTTTATTCGGTCAGGGCATGGAACGGCTCTGAAAGTGAATTGAGTCACTTGACGATTCGATGCACCCTGTAGAAAATGGGATAATGCATCCTGAACTGAACCCTTGCCCCTCTGCCGCCCCACGTTGATTCACAGATTTGCACAAACAGGCGTCACCTGCTTCTGGCTCTTCATCCGGTGCGAGGTGGGGCCGTGCGATTGCCAGAAGTGGCCCTGAGCGACATAGACAGGGTGTTGCTCCAGACTCTAGACAACAAGGGGTGCTGTCTTTGCTTAAAGGATCCTGATCTTGGAAAGTGCATGTCACGAAGGTCTCGAAAGCCAGCCTGTTCATTGGACAACGCCTTCAGTCTCGACGCAGAAAGTAGATGTCCTGGCTGCAAGCGACAGGGTCAACTCCCGTCTCCGCACTGCAGCATGGCACTCAAGATTATCATCAAGATTGGCATGGTCAGCGTGGTCGACATGCTGTACGTGCTCATTCCTGTTGCCTTGGTCACTGAACCCAAGGCAACGGTCCCTTCACATATCTTGGGATGTTCCCTCTTATACAAACAGTCCTTAATTAATAGGGGTAATAGTAGTGGGTACTTCAAGGACTGTTAGTATAAGGGGGGAACATCCCAACACATATCCCATACGCTGCCCGCTGCTGTTGCCGAGCACGGAAGTCCCTCTGGCCTCCGCACCCAAGCTCGCGCGGACGAACTCCTGGGGTTTGGGTTTAGGGTTTAGGGTTTAGGGTGGCTACTACCCACACTCACACACCGATAGCTTTGGTGATTTCCGCGCCTCCTGAACGCCCGTGGGTTCAGAGATGCTCAGGGACTAGGGCGACTAGGGATGTGCAGGCTTTCAGGGCAGGCGATCCTGGAATATGCTTGTGCGTTCTGAGGCACCGAGCCAAAAAAGCTTGGAGTCGGGTTTCAACTATTGTCACTATGGTTCAAGTCCTTAGTTGTTCGACGCCCCACCTCCTACAGTAACTTTGTCTCACAATCCAGCACATCCAGCGAGAAGTCAGCTCTACAGATAATTCGGTGCCCTAAACCCTACATGCTAAACCCTAATCCGGTGTCCTACTGTCCCGTCTTTGCCTTCCTTCCCTCCCCAACCCCAAACCCCAAACCCCAAACCCCAAACCCCAAACCCCAAACCCCAAACCCCAAACCCCAAACCCCAAACCCCAAACCCCAAACCCCAAACCCCAAACCCCAAACCCCAAACCCTAAACCCTAAACCCTAAACCCTTATCTTTTGCACTCTGGGATCCCCGGCCACTTTGCAAGGAGCTTGTCCAGCCGACGGAGGACAGCAGCCTCCCCAAGAAGAAACAAAAAAGGCCTCAACCTCAAAGATATGCCGGCCCTACAGTGTGAGCCGAGCACGACAGCCATGTCTAGGGTTTAGGGTTTAGGGTAGTTTACTGTTTAGGGTTTAGGTTCTCTCTGATAGAATTGACGACGGCTCGCAAAAGGACTGGAATGTGATTGGATGCGTCATGAAGCCCCTGACTCCCCGCACGCTCATCACATTTCGTGCGAGTCACCGGAAATCTCCTCATTGAAAGAAAGGGTGTCTCTGCGAGGGTTTGCCATTCTTCACGCAAGCCAGAAAACACCAATCTGTCATGTTCAGGTGTTTCAACCTGATCCTCACATCCTGCCTGTTCTACTTGGGCTTAAATTCACTGCCGTCGAGCCTCGTGCATGGCACCCTTCTGCTGACGACGGCATAAAGCGGATGCTTCGCGATCCTGGGGCAAAGCACCGGCCAAAGCCAAAGCACTTGGTGTGTCTGCACCTCCGGCAACTGACGGGGGTCGGATACGACCGCTTGGTGACAATGTCAATTTCCGGGTTCAAGGCACATCGTCCACCATACCTGACAAAGGAACCCTGAAAGAACAAGACACAACCCACGAGCGAAACCTTGAACACGTCGCTTTGGAGATTGCCTGGCCAATGCTAGCTTGGAAACCTCCCCCCCCCCCCCCCCCCAGCCATCTTCGAGTATCTTCGAGGATCGCTGTCTCATCTAGGCTAGGCTTGAACTTGACCCCTGCACAAAAACCTCTAAATCCTGATCCCGTAATCCCTAACCCCTAAAACCCCTAAACCCACTAAGTCACTATGGACATACCCTCAACCGAGCCGAGACTGAGCGTGTCCTCTTTGAGCATGCGCTGCTTTTCCTGCTGCTCGCGCCGCAGCAGTCGCCGCCCCATCCGCTCCTGCTCTTAACAGGGCTATGCTCGGCTTGTTCTTCATACCCTAAACCCTAAACCCCAAACCCTAAACCCTCAACCCTAACCCTGCTCGGGTTCAGAAGCCCTGCCTTTCAAGATGCTCAAAAAAAGAGACGTTCAGTTCGGGGCTCTCAAACATCGCTTCTGGGTGTGGAAGCTTCTCAAAAGGCATCCCATTTGAACAGTAAGGGTACCTTATACAGCTTAGAACAACCTGCAGTTAGAGTACAGGTTAAGACTAATTAGCATCAACGCGATTTACATATGTTGAATCTAGCACATGTTTTCACTAGTATGAAAAGTTTTGAAGAAGTTCATCAGCAAAAACCAGAAGTTCACCAAACCTGTCAGATTCATAGAATAATCAGGGCCTTCATAAGGGGCCTTGCAGTTAAAGCACTGCAATTCCGACTTGCTTGCATGGCTCGCCCCAGACAGATGCCCCAAATAATCACGCCCCCTGACACACGTTTCTGCAACAAGAGGCAATTCAAGATTCAAACAACCTCTGGGTGCTTGTACGATGTTAACTGCACTTTATGCGGTCTTGGGTTAAACGGACACATCCGTAGGTCTAGCGGGTCAACACTGCCTAGGCGAGAGCCGTGCCACGGAACGGGCGCGTAGCGGCACACCAACCATTGTGCATTTTTGATCCCACCGCCGCGAATCCCCCCAGAAAAACAGAAGAACGTCTTCATCGCAAGTAGTCCTCAGCCGCCATTCTGGTGCAGTTCCACTGCTCCCACCTGCCAGAACGGCTCGACTGTGACTCACCGTAGAGTTAGATTGATGCTCAGCTTCAGTCTCCGTGCCCTAAACCCCAAATTCTAGTTACACTGCACAGAGCTCCAAAAGATGGGCCGGGGGGCGGGGGGGATTGTTTTGAATTCAGTTCCCTTGTCTAAAGGTACCTTTACTTCATAGAAGGACTTCTGAAATCAAGGGCGCCCGGAACATGACCCAAGTTGAGAACGACCCACAGAAGTCATGTCTGGCATTCTCTGTCTCATTGCGGAGCCATGTATCACATGAAGTCGTACGGGGGTTTCCGGTACCTTATTGCGGTACTTATCACAAGGGCATCCTATTATTTGGAGTCTACAAAAGGGGTCCCTTATTTTCCCATCCTGCCGCGGCGTGCGGCGTACCTGCGTTGAAGATGTGCTTCGGCCAGCGCATCGATCCTTTCCAGAGGTCTGGGCCTTGCATTGGATGCCAGGCACTGCCCCCGACACCCTGCAGTTTGGGGTTTGGGGTTGAGGGTTTAGGGTTTGGGGTGCAGGGTTTAGGGTTTAGGGCAAGTTTCGGGTGTCTGTCCAACAAGGACGTGTTTTTCACACCCAGACCCTCAGGCTAAGCTGGAGTTTTACTCGCAGGCACAGTCTGGCAGCAGGATTCTCGACTTTCCGTGAAGTCAGCCCTGTACTGAAGACAGACTACGCGCATCATCAATATCTTCTATCAGACAACTTCAGAACCAGACTGCGCAAACACAGTTTCATACTGTAGGCACCCTGGCGCCGCTTTTGCGCTGTGTCACTGCAGTTTTCCGGGCATAGTCGTAAGTCATAAGCTTCACTTCACTCCCGGAATGAGTGCCGTCATCGCGCTGTAGTTACGGGGGCTTTGGCCATGAGATGATCCCAGCCGCGCGGCCCCCGTGAGCACCTGCCCAAGGCTGAGTCCGATGCTCGCGGCCGGTGCTCGCTCCTGCTTCCAGCCAGAGTGCCTGGCATCTGAATTCTTCTGTGACTATCAGCTCTGGCCACAGGAAGCTCAAGGCTATGACCGAGGCAGTTTGCTGTGATCGCGGAAAGCGCCCAGCTACACATCTTTCACAGATCCCACAGCTCCTGTTGCTTCAAGCGAGAGTTTTTATCCACGATGAGACATGCATGGATGTATGATGTATGCATTCAACCCCCCTAAACATCTCCCCACCCTACCTGGAGCCCTGCCTTGTAGACCTGGCGCAAGCGGAGCCAGAGCTCATGAGACTGCGCTGGGCTGCGGCCTGGCGGCCTCTCGCATGGCTTAGATCTGGGTGGAGAGGTTTGGAAGCAGGGATTTGGGGGCTTGTGAGGCCCCTGGGATATTTCCTGGCGGTGCAGTGCAGGAGCGCAGTTTGATTTTAAACCACTGGCCGCAGAGTCATCTTGCGGCACAGCTGCGAGAAGCTAAACTAAACTTGCTGGTTCTTAGGACTGAGGGGGGTTGAGGTACCTTATGGAATCCCTTGAAGGGTATATATACATATATTTTTTTGGCGAGAGAGAGAGGACGGCAGTTCTGGAGTGGGGAGGGGTTACCATATGTACACATACATATATATATATATACATAGAACTGGTTATGTACAAATATATATATATATATATATATACATAACTGGGGGTTCTTGGTATCTCCCTCATTCCCTACGAAGAACCAGCCGGCAAAGCAAACAATTGGGAGGAGCCGGGGGCTTCAACTCCCAAACGGGCTACAGTGACTCGGCATCGTCCTGCAAGTGGAGGTAGATCCCAGAAACCAGCAAGAACCATGTGTCAGTGGGTAGTAAGCCCTAAACCCTAAATCCCGGAAACCAGCAAGGAAAGTATGTTAGCGGCTGGTGCTTGAACATGCGCAGGAACGCAGCAGAAATGCAGCCTCATGCACTGCAAAAAAGTCCTGCTACTTTACATGGTGTCACCAATACGATAGCACAAGTGTCCTGATCGTCTGCCAGGTCGATGCACGTGACCTCCGAGTGTTGCGGCATGCCCGGTTTTGGCGGTGACAGTGAAGGGCCAACGATACGTCTGTCCGAACTCACTAGGCATCAGCATGACACAAGCATCCGGCACCAAGGGTGCAGCCTGCTGCGGCTTTAGCGCATGCGTGAAGACACCGCCAACTTTGTTTTTGTCCAGCCTGGCTCGATGGCTGGGGGGTACACGTGACTGAGATCAATCGAAAGCAACAGCAGCAACCGAGTTCTGGTTGCGGAAGTGCTGGTTACAGAAGTGCCCTAGAGAAAAATGCTGGGTGTTGCTTTGCATTGACTGTTTTGCACTGGCTCATTTCAGAAGAATGTGGTTCAGTGCGACACATCATGGGTGTGAGGATATGAGAATGGTAGCTGAATTTCATTCAGAGCCAATTGGGCTTGAACAACATATTTGTTGCGAAACGCTTCAGGATCTGGGTCGATGGCCAGTTGTGATTCACTGGATACGTGGCCATATTTGAAGACCAGGACTCCATCGCTGTCCGCTGCATCCCATGCGCTCTCTCACACAGCCGCAAGAAAACAATGTGTTTATGGAGCTACGGCACGGCCATTGCGCACTGCATCCAATATGGAACTACGTAGTAACAATGCTGATAATGCGTGAGCAACCGCTTTAACATAATGCATTCAGCATTCCCAAGCACGCGCGAAAACACACAGACAAACGTAAACACACTTTCTCTCTCACACACTCTCTCTCTCTCTCTCACATGCAGGCACAGAGGACCGCAATATCCGGCAGACATTGTTACCTCATTCATTCTCATCTAGATGCAATGACGATACGCAGTGGGACACCTCTGGTGCGTTCGTTCAGCGCCCCTAAACCCTAAACCCAAAACCCTGAACCTTAAACCCTAAACCCTAAATCCTAAACCCTGAACCCCTGAACCCTAAACCCGAAACCCTCACTGTCTCACCGCAACGGCGTGGCTCCGGTGCCTTCTTGACCGGACTCGCGCAGTGCCTGTCTTCTCATGAAGGAAGGGCCCGTTCGCCACACGCTGCTTCGACGCCTAGTGGAGTGTAGGGTCTAGGGTGTATAGGTTTTAGGGTTTAGGGTGCATCTAGGTTATTCAGACTTTTCAAGTTTAGGGCCGAGCTTTTCAGGGTGAGATGCTGGGGAAACAACATCGTATAAAACCACAGTTCAAAGAGCAGAATCGCGGCGTGTTCCTTGCATCCACCTCTCGATAAGCTGAACCCTGGACCCTCAAACTAGAAGTTCATCCGGGTGGCTATCGAAATTTTGATCCCTTCTGGGGTACCCTAATTATTAGGTTCCGCATTAGAAAAGGGAACACCGTAATTTTGACAACCACCCATCCCTCCGCACAGAGGACTTTAGGATGGGGCGCTTCTGCCTGGTGCCCCTAAACCCTAAACCCTAAACCCTAAACCCTAAACCCTAAACCCTAAACCCTAAACCCTAAACCCTAAACCCTAAACCCTAAACCCTAAACCCTAAACCCTAAACCCTAAACCCTAAACCGCGTTATTAACTCGGCGCTGGAACTCAAGATGTCCTGCTTCGCCCTACACGTCCCATTTCCTGTCATGTAGCCTGGTGACCTATATGGGCCTAACTAGGGGTACCTTCTTAATTTTGGGGTATTATTATTTTTATTCTTACCATTCTTACAATTATTTTTATTATTATTATTATTATTTTTATGTTTATTACTATTAAGGGGAATCATATGGGTAGAAGAGACAAGCCGCAGATCGGATCCAGCCCGTAGACTCGCGATTCTCAGCAACCCAGGCTGCAATGGGGCTGGCATCGTAGTCCTAAGTCATCCCTAAACCCTGGAACCCCTAAACCCATAAACCCATAAGTAAACCCTACACCTTAAATCCTAAATCCTATAGCCCATCGGTAGACCGGGAAGTGCTCCACACTGCAACAAATCCCATCTTCTTGCGTCGGAGTATCGCTGAGGTCCACATCCACTTCGCGCTGCACGGTAAGCCTAGGGGTCTAGGGTTTAGGGTTCAAGGATGTGTCCGGCAAAGGAAAGAAGTCTGACTACTTCAAGCGCTGCGACCCCCCCCCCCCCCCCAACCCTAAACCCGAAATCCGGAGACCCAATGCAGTATGGCAAAGCCCAAACCCTGAACTCTTCAACAAACCTCTTTTAAGCCCTCTGGCCCCTGGAGGCTGCAGGCCACCAACAGCGCCCGAAAACACACGCCCGCTGCCGCTGCCTCACCTCAGAGCATGTCGTCAGGGGTAGGGTTTAGGGTTTATAAGGGTTTAGGGTTTAGGGTCGAGGGTTGTGCATGTAGGGTTCACGGTTGAAGTTTAGGGTGAGAACTTTTCGGGCACCCAGATGCATGGGCTAAAATGGGTCTTGTGATTGGTTCTTGTGGTATTCTGGGATGATGCACGAAACCTGCTGTTGTCCCGAAGGCAAAGTCGAAGCCCCCACCCAAACCCCGTCCCAAACTACCTTGGTTCGTAGGGAATTCAGAATTGAATCAGCAACCCAGGGCAAAGAGATGAGCGTCGGCAGGCGCGCGCGAAGGCAGGGTCGTGGTGGCTCGACGGCCGTACCATTCCCTGCAGGTCGCCACGCTGAACGACGAAGATCACAGTGCCTTGAAGTTTCGGTTTGGTGCCACTCTTGGGTCTACTCTTGTTTTTTGAAGATTGGAATAGTCACTCCAAGATGCACTGGGAGCCGGCCCGTGCCAATGTTGCCAATTCCGTGACGTGCCGGCTTGCCCTCGCGGACACAGAGTCGGGAAAGTAGCCTCAATGGGATCATGTTCTCCCTCAGCCATCAACCCGAAACCCTGCAATAAAATGCCTTGGATGTCTTTGGATTCCACTTGGACGTTCTGAGAGCTACGTCTCTGCTAGGTGACTGGACACCTGGCAGAACTTCAACATTCATGCATCCAGAAGACCGGCTGATTGCACAACGCCACCCATCCAAACATCTTCCTTCCCCCGCAGCGTACGAAAGGACGCTTCTTGATGCCTACACATTCACATGGGTTCCAAAGGTGATTAGAGGATCAGGGTCTCGGCATGTGCCGTGGCTTCCGAGTTGCCGTGTCCGTCAGGGTACACCATGTGGCAGTTCTTGGCTTCCTTGACAGGCTTTCACAGGTGCGCGCTGTAAACCCTGCACCAGGGCACTCGTAAGTCAACGTGATCTGTCGCTGTATCAATCCTGCAGGTGTTTTCGGACTTTGCATTGGAGGCCACTCTGCTGTAGTTCCTCTGTATCTCGGCAAACTGCCTGCCCAAACAACATGCAACTCAGCGACTATGTAGTGATCTCCTCAGCATCAGGGCGCTTGCCCGTGTCTTCTGTTTTCAGTCTTCGAAGCTACTGAAGAGAAGACGGTGCATGTGCACAATCCAGCCGGCTCACGGAAACGTCGATCCCACTTGTACTAAACGAGTACTACAACTAGTAAAACCCTGAACCGTCGCATGCCTCGTCTGCTCCTGACTCCTCACTCCGCACGTTCCTTTCGCACCCCGGTTGCGTGACACCTGTGTGCCGGACGCGACGTAGATGGAGCAGACACGGGCATTTCCCAAAGCAGGAATCCGGGATCTGCAAGTATACCCCCAAAGACGATTATCCTGACAGGTCCCGCCCCCCTCCGAAACCCTAAACCCTAAACCCTAAACCCCAAACCCTACACCCTAAACCCTAAACCCTAAACCCTAACCCCAAACCCCAAACCCTAAACCCTAAACCCCCAAAAATGTACCCCCGCTCTAGAGCTGGAGGCGTCAGCCCCCTGAACCGAGCAAGTCGCCGCCCTGGGGCGTGCGCAGCCAGAAGTCCAGCCGAGACTCCACCGACCTCACTCATGACTAAACTCGGTTTAGGGTTTAAGGTTTAGGGTTTAGGGTTTAGGGTAGCAGGCAAGCCATGTAACCCTTTGATACCCTAAACCATGGTGTGAAGGTCAGAGGGTTAAAGCGAAGGGGTTTTCTTGGGGGTCAGGAGCTCTCAAACTCTGAATCCCCCCCCCCCCCCCGCCGGAGTACTCCTCGAAAGTGCAAAGGGCCCAAGATGTAAAACAAAAAAAGAAACAACAACCAGTGCATCATGGAATGACTTCAGGCCCCAAACCCCAAACATCTGGCCAGACTCCGTGCCTCTTCCGCTTTTGTTGGCGTTTGGGCCTCGACTGGGGATGAGAGCGTATACATATACAGATACATATACAGATACATATACAGATACATGTACAGATACATATACAGGTATGTACATGTGTACATCTTTTCCGTCAACAAGCTTCCAAAAGCAAGGCCTTGAGGTGTCAGGAGGCCCTATGATTGTCGCTGTTTTCTTATGTTCCACTGTTCAGATTTGTGGGAGCCGATGTGTTTCTGTTTATTGCGCCTTCTGACTGTGAAAGCCCCACAAGCTGCTGGTTGCGGGGGCGGTGATGTTTAGAGTCCAGAGTGACTGTGGAAGATCTCTGCTGAGCACCGGGCAGCGGCTGCTCAGGCTGTTCAGCATTCCCCTGCCCGACTGGAATCCGATTGGATGTCAGATCGCGAGCCAGAAAGCATGCCAGGGAAGGAGGGAGAGAGAGAGAGAGAGAGGTAGATAGATCGAGAGTGTGAGCAAGGAAGTGACGAGGGATTATGGAAAGCAGAACAAAGATAGATGCCCAATGAAGGAGGTGCAGTCATCGAGGGACTACGAACAGGCTCCAGTCTCATGTTCGGGGGCCAGCCGTCTACCCCCCTCAGCCTCAATGTTGTGAGAGACGGCTGAAGCATCCGGACAGCCTCGAATCCTTGGCTCACGTGCTCTCTCCTGTCTCTTCTGCAATGCATTGTGCTACTGAGTCCATTGATGTCTTTGAGGCTCTGCGCGCACTCCCCTCTAAAATGGACACGAAGCCGACAGAGGGACAGCGGAACCTTGCAGCATCTTGCTCGACGCTTGGACCCGCCCAGGAAGAGCTTATAGAATACTTGACAGCGAGGAAGGTTGCAGGTTTCACGGAATCCACAGGTCGGAAGCCACGACCCTGAAGGTCAGAGGAATTTGAAGGTGAAAGACTCACATCCAAGACAACCCGAACCTCAGGACTGCATCTGTAGCCTCGACATGTGGGTAGTTCTCGAAATTAAGGTCGCCTTGTGGGATCCCTGTCTAAATGGGTGCCGCCATAAAGTGGGCACCCAACAAAAAGGGACCCTATTTTAGGAAACTGCCCATGTGCAGTTGTCGCAGGTCTTGGGAGTCCAGGAGTGCCAAGGATCGGATCCGCGTGTGCGAGGCGCTTCTCGCACTTCATGTCTACCCAGTCGTCAAGTCCTCACACGACTTCTTGTGCCAAGCTTCTGTGCGAGTGCTAAGGTGAGGGTTCGGGGGATGGTCTCCCGAGCCGTAACGCAGCAACTTGCGGCTTCAGAGGTTGGATCTGGGGGTGGGGGGAGGGGGGGGGGGGTAGGTTTATACAAACCCGCAAAGTTCGTAAGATTCTGCGAAGCTTGACCTTGCAGGGGAGCGGAGGAAAAACGTGGGGTTCCTCGAAACTCATGTACAGCTTCCGCGCCTCCTCCTACCTGCCCTCCAAACTCCAACACCAAGCCCGAAAGGACCCGCTCCTGGAAGCAGCCGCCTCCGCAGCAGCTCTCCCACGACTAGGTTCGGCCTACAAGTGATGGTCCCGGTGCGGAGGTTGGGAGTGGTTGATAAGTTTAAGCTTTTGGGGTGGGTCCGGGTAGGTTGCACGAATTGTCGGGCGCGGACTCGGGCCAGCGTCAAATGCGGCAGCTTGGGCTAGGCGTTGCTTTGTAGCAGGGACTGAAGCCTCATACCCTGGATTCACACAAACTGCAGGTCAAAGAACCTCAACCTGTGAACGAACTGTACAACCTTCTGCTGTTTTCGAAACATGCAGCTGCCTTGGAGAAGTGACAAGGCATTCAGAGTCCATGAGAGGTCCCTGCAAGACACAAACATTCCTAGAGGCGCCTCTGCGTATTCGTTCCACAGAGGACCCCATTGTGGTCAATGAGCTCCCACGTCCAACGCAGCCGCCGTTTCGGCGCTGACGTGCCTCAACTGGAACATCTGGAGAGGACCTAGATGACCCAGGATTTCTTGGTTTGGGGACAGGAGGGATGGGTTGTATCTCCAACCCTCAAGCAACCTAATGCTTCACAAGCGTCTAGCTCAAGCCGGCAAGACTCCCTGTACTCAAAACTCCCAACCACGGTACGACAAAGGGGGAGGCGACCCCGGCACCAAAGCAGTACCGGTACCCTAAACCCTAAACCCTAAACCCTAAACCCTAAACCCTAAACCCTAAACCCTAAACCCTAAACCCTAAACCTAAACCCTAAGCCCTAAACCCTAAACCCAGAGCAACTCCCCCCCCTCCCCCGGCCCCATGCGTCCAATGACCCTGGCCTTGCCCCACGGCCGCCTCAGCCAGCCAAATGGAAGCCTCACGGCGGCTGAAGGCCTCCATACCTTACCAGCATGGGCAATTATACACTACTGTATAACCCCCCGCCCCCCCCCAAAAAAAAAACAGGCCCTTGAGAGGGTTGCTTCTGGGAATTATAGGGCCTACTAGTAGTCGCCCATCCTGCAACTGTCAAGTTCGGAGTCACTCGCCCATCACAGCAAGACGATGAACCGAACTAAAGACAACAAAGGAAGCTCTTGCCCCGGCCACTCGCAGAATCACAACTGGTGGACTTTCCAGGTGCCAGGGAACGGCCCGGGTTGACACAGTAGGCAACATCTTCGGCCCCTGACTCCAGGCGGACATCCTTGGAGTACTTCGAGGTGGCAAGACAGGTTGCCGTGACAACGTATTCCCTCGCCCCCTTTAAGGCAAGTGCAGGTTTCGACCGGGCAGCTGTCCAGCTATCCCGTAATCCCCCAATTTATTGCAGACCTCTCAGCTGTACCGAGCAGCCAAATGCGCCTAGAAAGAAAACCCTGGAGACTTCAGCATGGATGGACAACTCGACCCATCACGCCTACCCTGGTTCTTGCCCTTGGCACTGTATTCCACACACCTGCAGTGGCACTGGGGCTGCGTCTGCCAGAAAGCGGTCGCGGCGCTGCAGCAGCGTTGCAGGGGTCAGAGGCGGAAATGGCAGGAAAAGCATCTGGAACTCCCATCTACATCTGCCGGATGTTGTGTGGGCTTGCGCTGTGAAATCATTACAAAGACTGGGGTTTGTGTGCTTTAAACTTCATTCCAAAGATTGCAGGTGTGGAGCAAACTCCCAGCCGAGGTCACACGAGACATGCGTCGTTGCAATTTCGTCTGGCCTTTCGAGCGTTTGAGCTTTAAAACCAAAGCAAGAAGCGCGCGAACGGGTCGGATAGCAAATGGCCATGGGCGTCTCATACCCATCCCGTCTTACAGGCTTCATAATTGGGCCAAAATTGGTAGCAGCCAGGGTTTCTGAACTGCTCAGAACCTAGACCCAAGAGTAACCGAGGAATTCAAGGGGTGCTCCTTTGTGGTTCAAATGGGCTTCTTCACAAACGAATAGGAATAAGGGTGTCCGAGGAACGACGGGAACTACACCCTTTCCCCCCCCCCCCACGGAAACGCATAAATAATGGCCTGCCCATGCAATGCTCCTCGGGCCTCCTGGGCCAGACGACAGAGTCTGGGTTTAGGGTTTACGGTTCAGGGTTTAGGGGTTTAGGCTTTATGCTTTAGGGTGTAGGGTTTAGGGTTTAGGCTTTAGGGTTGGGTCTCGTGCGCTTGTGCTGAAGCTCATCATGACAGGTCAAACAAGACAGCCTTCTTGCAGCTGGTGCTTGCAGCCCTGATATGAAGCAGGGTATATATTTCTTGTACCCCAAAAGGACACCCAATATATACACTCACCAATATTAAAAGGGAACCTTATATACACTCACCAGAAACAGAAATATAAACCCTGCTTCATATGTTGATGGAGAGCTGGGCAGATATCCAGCGGGGGAGAATCAAAGAAAGTCAAAGCCCGCATCAGCCTCATGATGTTGCAGCTGAAGATGGACTTTAAGCCCGCACAACCCCCAAAAGCCCACATCCAAAATTGACCTAAACGTCCCCCTAACCCCTAACCCCTAAACCCTAAACCCTAACCCCTAAACCCTAAACCCTAAACCCTAAACCCAAATTGACCTAACCCCCCTCCCCCCCCCTTAAACCCCCCTGCAACCCCGCCGCAAAGCCCAGGCATCCCTGAGGCCGCCGGCTGATGCGCCGACCGCAGGCGCTGCCACGCAATGAGCGCCGAGTCGATTTCACCTGCCTCGTAGACCTGCGGTGTAGGGTTTAGGGTTTAGGGTTTAGGGTTTAGGGTTTAGGGTTTAGGGTTTAGGGTTTAGGGTTTAGGGTTTAGGGTTTAGGGTTTTAGGATGTAGGGTGTAGGGAGGCAAGTTTCGGACACTGAGATGAGCCCTACCCTAAACCCTAAACCCTAAACCCTAAACCCTAAACCCTAAACCCTAAACCCTAAACCCTAAACCCTAAACCCTAAACCCTAAACCCTAAACTGCCCTAAACCCTAAACTCCTATATCCTTTTGAAGCGTGCCATCGCTCCGAGATTCCTAGGATCCCTTGCAACCTGCCATCGCTTGGAGCCCCCGGCCGGGCTCAGGAGCACGTGCCGGAAGATGGCGCTGGACACCTAAATTCAGGGGTTTAGGGTTTAGGGTTTAGGGTTTAGGGTTTAGGGTTTAGGGTTTAGGGTTTAGGATTTCAAGGGGTTAGGGCTTCGGGCTTGGGGCTTAAGGGTTTTGAGGGTTTTGGGTTTGGCGGCTGTCGGGCTTAAGGGCTTTAAGGGTTTTGAGGCTTTAGGGTCTGGGGCTTAAGGGCTTTAAGGATTCGAAGGGTTCCGGGGCTTGAAAGGGGCTTTAGGGTTGTTCAAGGCCTCCAGGGACGAAGGGTTTGCAGGGTGTTCTTAAGGAATAAAGGGAGCTTGAAGGGCCTGTTAAGGGGTCTAGTGTTTAGGGTTGAGGGTTTAGGGTTTAGGGTTTGGGGTTTGGGGTTTGGGTTTGAGGGTTTAGGGTTTAGGGTTTGCTCAGGTTCCGCGCACATCACCACGCGGGACGTGTGTTGTGGTGTGCGCCCAGGTTCAACGCGCTCTCCCAACCCACCCAACCACATCTCAACCGCTACGGGCCGCCTTTGACCAAATCCTGGGGTACCCCCCGCGAAGGCCTCTCTGTCCCCCCAAGATCCATAGGTTCTTTTGGCGGGTTTGGGTTTCTTTTTGCCCGGTAATTCCAAATTATGATGCTTATACCGGGCTTACAAGACCCATAGGTTTATGCTTTGGGCTCCCTTTGGTTTTTGGTCCTTCGCCCTCTCTACGATTGGGGAGGGTCTGGGATTGGCCGAAGGAGGCCTTTTAGGAGACCTTTTGGAAGGACTGTCCTGGGACCTCTTGAAACCCTGCTTACAAGATCCATAGGTTTATATGTTGGGCTCCCTTTGATTTTTGGTCCTGGCCGAAGGAGGCTTCCTAAAAAGATTTCCTGGCGGCCCCCCTGGAACCTCGGCCCCTGCAACCTCTTGGGGCCTTGCTTACAACATTTTGGGCGGGTTTAGGGTTTTTTTGCCCGGGGTTTCCCAAATTATGATGCTTATACGAGGCTGACAAGACCCATAGGTTTATGCCTTGGGCTCCCTTTGGTTTTTGGGAGGGCTTGGTCCCAAAACAACCCAAAAATGGCTTAATGATCCAGAGAGGCTCAGACAGTCCGGGAGGAGCCCAAAAAGGGCTCAGAACTGGTCCGGCAGAAGCCCAAAAAGCCAGAAATGGTCCGGGAAGACTCAAAAAGCTCGGGCGGAGCCCGAAAAAGGCTCAGAAATGGCCCGAAGTTGGGGAGGACAAAGGTGGGAAGGCCCTACAGAATGGGGCGCAAAGCACTTGCAAGCGAGTCAGGGACAAGGGTAGGCGGGGCCTACAAGCCTAGAAAACCGCCCCATGGCAGCAAGACACTCAAACGCAAGCGGCGCACTTTTCATTGAGCTCAAAAACTGCTCGGATCATCGCCTTCATGGCCTTCCTAGGCCTTCATGCCCTTTGTCGAACTTCATCGCCTTTTCATCGCCTTCATGGGCCTTCATTGCTTTCATGGCCTTAGTCCATGGAGTTGAGGCTGTCCTTTTTGGCGCCCGAGCCACTCGCCTTCTCCTCATTCTTCGTCTTCTTCTTCTTCTTTGTGGTTTTGGCCTTCTGGGCCGGGCTGTCGTCCTTCGCACCGTCCTTTTTCTCACCCTTCGCCTCCGTCTCCTCCAACGCCCAATTTGGCGGGTCCGGCATACAGCAAAGACTCACACGGCCTGCGTTTCCCTGGCGAACCGAGGATCTGAACCTTTCCACAAAGAGAAGTTGCCTGAGTTTAGGGCTGCCTCTCGGGCTTCAAAATCCATAGGCTTGCATCCTAAAGCTCGAACCCTAAAATTCCAAAACATATATACTGACATGGCGAGGAACTGCTCTGTCGACAATCCGAACCACCACTCCGTGTTCACGACGACATCGTGGTTGTCGATGGCCACGATGCCTTCACCGGGTCCGAGCTCACCAGGTCCGAGCTCCATGCCCGACAAATGGTCCGGGCGGAGGTCGGAAAATGCTCAGAAATGGTCCAGGAGAAGCCCAAAAAAGGCTCAGAAATGGTCCGAGAAGCAGAAATGGTCCGGAAAAGCCCGAAATGCTGAGAAATGGTCCGGGCGGAGCCCGAAAAAGGCTCAGAAATCGTCCGGGAAAAGCCCAAAAAGGCTCAGAAATGGTCCGGCGGTTCAGAAATGGTCCGGGCGAAGCCCACAAGGCTCAATGGTGCGGGAGGAGCCCAAAAAGGCTCAGAAATGGTCTGGAGGAGCGCAGAAAGGCTCAGAGCTGGGGCCCCCCCTGACGCTTGAGGGAGGACGCACCAGTGCGGGGTCACTAAAAACGTAAGGTTTAGGGTAATAATTCTCTTTGGAGCCAGACTGACGCTGGCACGCGGGTTAAACCCTTCTAGGCGTGGCCGCGCTCACCGCGCGCAACGGCCCCGAGCCCTCGCCAGGCTAAGAAGGCTCGGGCTCGTCCGCGGGCCTGTCGCCACGCGGTATCGCTCGCCGCTGCTTATCGCAGCGCCCGCGGCTCGCTCCAGTTTAGGGTTTAGGGCTTCGCGCGCAGGAGCCTTTCATTCGATGGCCTGAAGGGTTAAGGATCCCAGGGCTGATGGGGTTTCAATGCAAGGCTCAAGAGTTCAAGGGGTTTTACAGTGGAGGGTCAAGAGGGCCTATTTCACAACATCCCCTAAACCCTAAACCCTAAACCCTAAACCCTAAACCCTAAACCCTAAACCCTAAACCCTAAACCCTTGACCCTAAACCCTAATCTTTGGCCCCAGCTGCAACATATACGAACCGGCCTGGAAGGTGATTCCGCTGCGCTTCGCAGCCTGGACACAAACGACGGACTCCCTAAACCCTAGAATCTCTAGCACCCCAACCCTAGAAACCCCAATCTCCGAAGAGAGTCCTAAGAGAAATCCCAAAGTCCTAAGAACCCGAAAGCCCGAAGAAGAACTAACCACCCAACAAGAGTAGCTGCAAACAAGCCCTATGAACCCCCCAAAACGAAGAAACCCTCACTGACAATGACCCTAAACCCTAAGCCCCAAGTCCTAAGCCCTAAGCCCTAAGCCCTAAACCCTAAACCCTAAGCCCTAAACCCTAAACCCTAAACCCTAAACCCTGAACCCTAAACCCTAAACCCTAACCCTAAACCCTAAGGTCTTGGTGGCGAAGGCTGGGTTTCTTGGAGCCTGCCCTAGAGTCCGGTATTCGACTGTCACGTCTCCTAAACCCCAAAACCCTAAACCCTAAACCCTAACCCCTAAACCTTAAGCCCTGAATCTCCAAGCCCAAATTTTGGAGCTTAGAACTCCGTGCTCTAAACCTAAACCCGCAACTCAATCGCTGCACAACAAGCCCTGAACTACACTGAACGACTAAACCTCCTCATGGCTCATGGACAGATGTCGATCCTCAAGGTCCGCCAAAGCCGACCGAACCTCGAACGCGAGCTCAGTCATGACTCTGCAGAAAGGGGTATACGTTGGCCCTCTTTCACTAACAGTCCTTAATAGGGATTCTGGTACCCCCTATGATAATTCTCATTGCAGACTGTTGCTATAAGGGGGGACATATCAAGGTATAAGGGTTTTAGCTTCAGGGGTTTGTAAAGGTGTATCGGGTGATCCCAGTGCAGGGGTGATGCCATTGTAGGCTTAAGGGCTTTGACGGTTGAGGGGCTTCAGACTTTTGGGCTTGTTTAGGGGGAAACAGGGGGAGGGGGGGGGGGGGGTAATAACGTTCCTGCCGACCTAAACCCTAAACCAAGGCAGAACACGTAGTGTGTTGTACAACAAGGCAAAAAAGGCTGTAAATGCCAGACTTGTGGCCATGGTCGCCATATGAATGGGCGTTGCTACTTCCCTCCCCAAGACACAACAAGAAACGAATGACATAGACAGAAAGAAGAAATGAACAAATAAAGGAGAGAACGACACGAAGAAACAACGACATGAAGAACCAGTGCACAGAAAGAAGGACAAACGCACTGACGGGAATGACACAATAAAGACAAACAGATGGACAAAAATTGAGCAATCATTCAATTCAGGAAGAGGGGAGCCAACAACAGAAAGACCCGAAGAAAGAACGAAACAACAAAGACAAAAAAAGAAAAAGTGAACTAACGACGACGATAATGATGAACGCACCAAGTAAAACACTGTTATTCAGAGCGTTGTTGCTTCTGTAAGCCTCTTTTTTAGAACGGGCTGTAAGGAATCAACGCAACACTCCAAACACTAACTTACACCCAAGTATTCCAAACTCTTTCAATACCTCTTTGCCACTGTTTGGAGGTACCTGCCGCCGGCAGAGGATTTCATTAACATCTCCTGAAGAGGAAGTAGCGTGTTCTTGAATCACAAGTTTCAGATTTTCGCAGTTTCGGATGCTAAATTTCCACAAAACATTGGTGTTTACGATGTTTTCGGCAGAGCCATGTGCTGTCCTATTTCCCTGGTTGGTAGCAAGCCTGTGTCTAGTTGCTTTGCGCGCCCGTGACCTTTTGGGGTTCCGCTTCAAGTCCCGGTACCTCAGTCAGGCTTGAAACTCGTGTACAGGGTTTACAGTAAGTGGCTGTTGGGACCCCCCGCCATGAGCCATCTGTCTCATTCAGCGTTCTCATGCTTGCGACCATAAGCCCTATATCCTGCAAGCCCTGAACCCGGATCCTACACTCAAACCTTAAAACTCGACATGTCCGCCCTCAGAAGCCAAGGGGCACGATGTTCGAAGGGCCCGTTGAGCGCACTCACTTGCCGCCGAATGGCAGCCTGGATGACATATCAAACCATTCACGCTTCTTGGTGGGCATACATGTCTACCTCATTTCGCAATTCGCAAAAGGTTGCCGCATTCTGCAAATATGAACGATATACAAGCCGTAAAGATTTTTGTACAAAGAAACCATGATAACATCGATTTAGATCAACACACATTGGCACATGAAGTGTTGATTGCAAACTCTTACGAAAATATGAGCCACCGGCCATGAAGGTCATGAAGGCATGTGAGCTCAGGGCGGAACGACGATATCCCCAACGGAGCCCGAAGGTCTACCAAAAGAATGGCAATGACCATTCCTACTCTCCCGCGTTCAGGGTATCTGAATCCCCAAACCCCGAAACCCTAAGCTTAAAAACCCCAAACCCCAAAACCCTAAACCTTCAAACCCTAAAACCCTGAAAATTCCAAGACCCTGAAACCCTTAAAACCCTGAAACATCCTGAAACCCTGAGACCCTGAGCTCCCTCAAAGGGCCACCCCGAAACTCCTGAGCCCCCGGCCAAGCAGACTAGATCCTGCCGGGCCTCAGACAAAGATGACCTGGGTCGGGCCTGTCTGCAGACTTCTTGTGGCGCTTTGTGGCTTAGGGGTGGCTTTATGGCGGGTAGAAAAGTCTAAGGCTCGCCAAGTTGGATCCACAATGGCTGAATTTACTACGCCCACCCCCCCCCCCCCCCCCCCCCGCCCCTGTGGGACCTGCCCAAAGCGCTTGGACCGAAATCCATGCTACGTTGCAAAGCACGAAATGGCCAGGCCCCTGAAACTCTTGGGAGCAGGTAGGACTCCCGGTAGGACTCCTCTAGACACCAGTTGGACCCCGCACATGCTACACCCCGCGTTGTTCCAGTTGCCAGCCCGCTGAGGCGTTTACAACTAACTGTCAGGGCTTCGGGGTCCTTGCGTAAACAACCTTGAGAATCACGGAAGCCCTGCGAAACCAGGGCCAAGAAAAGGCCCGCAACCCGTTGCCAGCCCGGCTTAGACAGGCTTTTGCGCCTGCAGTCGGAGATTGCAAAAGCTGATGCAAGCGCGATACTTGGCCAGGCCACCTGGAAAGGGTTGCAAGGCGCACGGCGTGCATGCGGCGGGAAACCCCCGAAGCTTGGTGCTGGCAAGGGCTGGATTCCCTGGTTCACCGTGGTGTATGATCTTTAGGCATCAAAGGCCGGAGGAAATAACCGGCAAGATCTCACACTCCAAGGTGGTTCCAGCACGGACTTTGGGCACGGTGACTGGCTGAGGCCAGATTCACTTTGCATCCAGGCTTTGGTTCAGAAGCAACCCGAGATAAGGCACTTTGAGAGCTGCTGGGTGGCACACGTCCGGACATTGGAAATGTAGACAACGTTGACTAACCACCGCTCCCTAGTCCCAATCCAAAACACATGACTTTGATGTATACAAATATAAATATAAATAAATAAATAAATATATTATATTATATTATATGATATTATATTATATTATATGATATTGTATTCTATTATATTATATTATATATATATATATATATGGTAGCATATATATATATATATGTATATATGTATATATGTATATATGTATATATGTATATATGTATATATGTATATATGTATATATGTATATATGTATATATACATATATATATATATACATATATATGTATATCTGTGCGTGTGCTTCTGAGATTATAATATGTGGAGCACGAAAAATAGATCCTAGACATACAGATTCTCCAAAGCAGGCTGAAGCACCGACTTTGCTCCGCGTTTTTGGGGCTTAGGGTTTAGGGTTTAGGGTTTAGGGGCTTAGAACAGCCGGTTACCCGGACTGCGTGCAGGCTGTTCTTTCTTGAACCCTCAGAAGGCATCCTATCCTGGAACAGTGAAAGCCACCAGTTCGAACATATGTATATATATATACATGTATGTGTAACACTAAGCCCCATAAGCCGTAATTAAGTCCTTATACCTATATAGTAGAAGCCAAGAAGTTGGAGAAACTCAATAGCCTCAATCCCTATTAGTAAAGTACAGAAAATTTCTGCACTTTTTTTGTCCTTAACAAGGTTTCCAACTTTTTGCGGTTTACTGTATACTGACAACTGCTGATCATTTTGTGTATGACAACCACTTTAGAACACTGTGACAGACCCATCCCCCTGACCTCGCACATGGCGGGAAAAGATGCCTTGCTCCGTAGCCTGTGCACAGCACACTGTAGCATTGGGTTTAGGGTTTAGGGTTTGGGGTTTGGGGTTTGGGGTTTGGGGCTTGGGGCTTGGGGCTTGGGGTTTCGGGTTGGGGGTTTGGGGTTTAGGGTTTAGGGTTTAGGGCTTCTGCAGTGGACCAAATTGGGCTCTGAGGGCTTGTGGCTGGTTGTGCTGCAGGGGGAGACTCGTCGAGTCGTAGGCTCCCAACTCCAGAGCTGTAACAGTTTCGAAGTTGCGGGAGAGCAGAAACCGTTCGTCATGGTTCGGGTGTTCGCGACAACAGGCTTTGACTTGAGACTCAACTCAGCACTTTTAGTTCCATGTTGATCCTTCCCGCCGAGCCCCCCGTCAACTTAGGAGTTGCTTCCATCAGCTTTCAAGAACAGCGGCGAGCATGGAAAACAACCGAAGCCTCCGCGAAGTCTTCGCCGCCACGCCCCAAAGCTACAAACCTCGCCCCTTCAAGCCTTCTCCAACACTCTGAATCCTACTGCCCCTCACCAACCCGAATGGGCCTTGCAGCTGATGGCCTTCGGACGCGTGGGCCTCGCTCGCTTGCGCGGCACGCGAGGCGCACGCGGCCTCATGGACCTGCCAACTGACCTGCCAGCTTTCGCCCTGTGGGTTTAGGGTTTAGGACAGGTTCAGGGCTTTAGGATTCAGAGCCCTGAGCCGTAAACTCAAAATATTATGGGCTGAAAACCCTTGGGGGTGTTTAGGGTCTTAGGAATAGGGTTTAGTTTAGGGTTTAGGGTTTGGGGGTTTGGGGGTTTAGGGATTTGGGGTTTGGGGTTTAGGGTTTAGGCGGTTTAGGGTTTAGGATTTGGGTTTAGGGTTGCTACGGGTAACATAAGGGAACAAAGGCACGTGTGAGCCGACCTGTTGGGGTCAAGACGCGAACCAAAAGTCGGCAAAGCTTCTTGTCTTGCACTTCTAAAGATTCTCAAGCCCAGAAAAGGTTTAGGGTTTAGGGTTTAGGGTTTAGGGTTTCGGGTTCATAGGGTTTATAGGGTTTAGGGTTTAGGGCATTCCCCCATGCCGAAGTTGTTTGGACACCCCCAAACCTAGCGGTAAAACCGACAAAAAGGCAGCACCCCCCAAGCCCCAAAGTCCCTGCTGGGCTGCAGGGCGGCTTCGTCACCAGGCGTGTGCCGCATCGAGCTTCCACTGGTGCAGCCTGACAAGTCAGTGGGACTTCGGCCCACGAACTTTGGAGGTAAGGGTAGCTTAAGGCTTACATCTTGCCGTTTTGGGCTGTACAGGGTTTACAACTTTGCGAGCCTGTTGCTTCATTGATTCCCTGCATGTCATGACATTGCGTTTGACTCACTCATATGATCACATCATCTGCTGAAAAAGTGGGTCTACGTGGACTGCGCACACACATTTTCATGAATGCCAGAGCATCTCCATGTGATCTGTTCTTGTTTTAGGTTGACCGAACATGTAGTCGGGTCCTGTGACAAAGGCGTTCGCGTAGGATCAGCCTGAAACTTGACTCGTCCAGGTTTCTGACAAAGATGCTACTAGCCACAGGAAGATTTATGCGACAGGCGGTTGAGAGGCTTCTTGCCTAATTCAGCGTTCAGCTGTGCTTGTAGCAAACTTGGGACCTCTCCTTTCTCAACTCCATTTTGGGCACTCCCAAGGGCACCTCTTCTCGGTGGTCTCTCGTAGACGAGTCATGAACAGCTTCCGAGCTCTACAGATCAAAAAACCTATACTCCCCTTAGAACCTTACGTATTAAAAATAGTATTGTTAATACTTTTTTATAACCAAAAATAGAAAAAATGATTCCCGAGGGGGATATAGAAACCACCTACATGAATCAGCGGCCGCCTGCTGCAGGGCCGCCGCGCTTCTCTTCCGCGACGGCAGATCTGGCGAAGCTGGAGGACACAAAAAACGGGGTTTAGGGTTAAGGGTTTAGAGTTTAGGGCTTAGGGTTTAGGCTTCCGGGTTTAGCACAGGATGCACCCTTGCTTTCTACAACGGCAGCCGTAGTGGCAGCTTGAAATGCGCAGCCGCACTCCCCTGTGCCTCTCTGACGTAGCAGCAGCTGCTCGAGCTCCTTTCGCTGCCTCTTGATTCAGAGGGACGTCAAAGATTCTCTGAAGTCCGCTTCCTCAACACTTGCCCTGATCGCAACATCCAAGTTGTCGGAAGAGGGCGCCAAGGCAGTTTGAAGTTGGCCTTTGTTCATGTGGGATAGGCCGGGCAAGGTTGAGCCACTATTTGCCAACTTGAGTCCACTACCGCACGCTTGTTGGGCCGAGCCCGAACGGAGGCCAACATGCGGACATAAGAAGCCTTAAGCCCAACCTGTTCGAGCCCTAGGCCAAAAAAATCCCACCCTCTGAATCCTCAAACCCCCCATAAAGCTGAACCCTCCACCCACACGCCCGAAACCCAATCACGGAACCTTAAACCCCCGAGACCCTGAATCCATCTGCTGATCTGAGTTAAGTGCCACTCCACCAGGCGCTTGGAGAGGACGTCGCTGCGGGCCTGCCGGCCAAGCCTAGCAGTGTCGAAAAGCATTTGTTCCAGTTGGGATTTGGGCATATTTGGGCCTTGGGGCGCAGGACTTGGAGTTTGGGCTTTCGGATGTGGCTTTGGGGTTTAGGACTGCCCAGACTCGTATGGCTGCAGTCGAGCTCAATGATGCCAGCAAGCAAAATCGCATGAAACAGGGATTGTTCTGCTGATTCGACTGGAGTCATGCATGATCCATGCCAAGTGGGAGACAAAGGTGCAGTTGCCAGCAGAGGCAAAGGATCTAGCAATCTGTTGAGGTGCAGTAGCTTGCAAGTCGCATGCCTAAAGGCCTCGCAGCCAAAGCCGTGAAGCCACTGAGATCACTGAGGCCTTGACCCCTGCAGAAGCTCGACAATCCGCTCCGGCAGGTATGCGATGCCCCGGCGCCGGCGACACTGGGGTTGAGGCTCGGGGGTTCGGGGCTGAATCGCTTGGGCTGCTACAGCAGGAGGGCTTAGAGGGCCCAAAGACTCCCGGTCCATTCTTCCCGTGTCCCCTGCACTAACCCGAACCCTCAAGGCCACCCAAAGAGCCGAGGCACGCGACAGCGCTGGGAAGATGTCCAACCAGGCGCACCTTCGTCGCCCAAGTGTATGCGAGATGCTGAAAATGTCGCATGTTTTGGGCACGATCGCCCAACCCGGCACTAAATCACATAACATCTCCGGATGCCCTGTTTTGCCATTTGTGTCGTACCAGAACAAGCAGCGAGGGATGGTTCTAGCGCGTTTGCAGCTGGGACAGCCTTGGTGGAAACCCTGTCATAGCCTACGAGCCGCTGAAGCATGTGCATGTTGGTCAGTAGGAGACTGTGACATTCGAGGGTACTTCTGGGCAACACGCCAATCGCCTGGCTTGGCAGGGGATGCGTGCGGCTTTTTGCCACTGGTTCCCAGTGGAGCTCCCGCCACATGAGTGCGTGAACCTCAGTCAGTGTGAGATGACGCTTCGTCTCGCGCTTTTACCAGCAATGACTGCGTACACGGCAACTGTCTGCTTCTACTGCAATCAGTGGCTCTACGAACAGTATGCCGCACATGCCCACCCAGGAACCATGGAGTTAACATCAGCAGCTCTAGCACAAAATCTGTAGGAAAAGAGCAAGTGGTCGTCATGATGTCCTTCGTGACGACCTTCTCCATCTTCAGCTTGAACTTGACGACAAGGCATGCACGACACTACGTGCACGTCGTCGTCGTCGTCGTTGTCGTCGTCGTTGTCGTCGTCGTTGTCGTGCGTGTCGTGCATGTCGCCGACGTCGTCCTGATGACGGCAGTGATCGCAAACAAAAGAAGCAGCGTGGACTTTTTGCGATGCTTGGGGCAACAGGCAACTGGAAACAGAGGCGTGGACGACGTCGGCGACGTCGTCGTCATGGTCGTCGCGGCAAAGTGGATGCTGGAGGTGGCGGATGGCAAGCCTCAGCTTCCATGAACATGCCCACCCCTCACACTCCAGCCATGCGAACACTGTTCACTGTCCTTTGCCATGCGGTACAAGTAAGAAAGGTAGGTGCCAACAAATAATTGGTGAGGCTCATACATGACCTACATGCCGGAACAGGAATCCGCCGAGCCCCTGCTTTCCTTGGGAACTGAGGCGGATGGCGGACGGACTCGGTGAACATCTGCATCATGATGAGCGCCATATTCGCAAAGTGCCTGTTTTGAGTCTTCAGTCCCAACAGGGTCACTACATAAAGGCTTACACTACATAGCGTCATGCCTTGACTTGTGTTTCTGAAGCCTTGGTTGTAGGGGAGCCCCAAAACCCAAGCTGCCACTGTTCTCTCCTGAACCCTGTTCTCCCTCTATGCGCACACCTCCTCCGCAAGATCCCATTCCGCGCAGCTCTACTTCCAAGGGTAGTTACATGATGTTACATGGTCCCCTAGTATGGGTCCCCAAAACAGGGTACCCTTACATACAAATCAAGGGCGTTAGGGACCATCTTAAGAGCAGATGTAACTACCCTTAGACTACTAGACCCAGGAGCTCTTTTTGGTAAAACAAGGGGTCTGTAAGGGAACCTAAACTCTACAAAATGGCAATACGGGCCTACTCTGGGTCCTTGCCCTAGTCTACGAGATTCGGCAGCAACCCTGAAACCTCCGAAAGCAGCCTCAGCGAGCGGGATCAACGGCGGAAGTGCCGGCTTTCGAGCAAAACAGCTGCTGCCAGACGAGAGATGCAACAGAAGCTTGAAGGGCTTCGGGCATGCTTCATTGACACTTGATATTTCGCTGTCCGAGCTCGCTCACGCATGTCATGCAGGCCTACAATGCAGACCTCCAAAACTGGGTAGAGCTGGGATGATGTATTCTGAGTTCTGTATACGTATACATGATGGCAACACTCGCCCGCTGCACGTTGAAGGGGCTTCCTCTTTGGAATGCAGAACAGGGCATCACAAAAAGAAGAGAGGAAACGATAGACTGCTCCGCTGTCAAAATGGAGGTGGTACAGGGAAACCCTGAAGGCTCAGCCCCACGCAGGGGGTTTGCTGCAGCTAGCGAAAGGCAGCTCTACTATAACCATTATTATACTTTTGATATTCTTCATATGCTGATGAACGTTATTCATAGTATCCAATATATTGAATATTCAAACCAAGACTGCAGCAGATTCATATGGACCAATGCCTTCCGACCAGGACCCTGTATAATACTTGAACAACTCTGACTCGGCCAATTTCCCACCAGCTGCTGCCGCATCTCTTCAAGCAGGAGCCGGTGTCCTCCCCGATGTGATGCGCATCGATCTGCTTGGCAGTCCGCAAGCCGGAACTTCACATCGCGGGAGCCCTCGCAATTGTGACCTTGCGAGGGAACCCCACCCTGAATAAGATATACTATGTTGCAAAGACGGCGTTCGCTTCGCGATGCCATGCAGCATGCATTCATGTGTTCAACTCTGCGCTGACATGATTCGCACGCCGCTTGCGCCCTTAAACGGGGCCGCCAGACTCACACAACAGCGGGCCTGTGGTAGGACTTGGTTCTTCCTACCCTCACATTGGCGCTCTTGGCAGCCCCAAGCCCCGGACAATCTCAGGGTGGGATGTGGGAAGCCTTCAATGGCCTTCAAGCCTTGAAGTCCAACACCTGCAACAAAACTTAAGGAGTCGCGCTCGCGCGCAGGCTGCAAGTCGATTCCTTGGAGGTTCACGGCAATCAAGGCAGATGCATTGCCAACAGCGCTACTAGGCCTGGTTTCATCCTCATCCGCGCCAGGTGTCTGATTTGTCAACGCGCGGAAGATTGGGCGGACGAGTCCCTGGCACTCACCTCAGATGGCAAGGGGAAAGATCGTGCCAAAACCGCAAAATGTCGTGAGCCATCTGGCATGAAGGAGACCTGCACTATGCTCGCGAGCGAGACAGAGGCAGCTGTGGATGCACGTTTCACGGCAACCCCCCTTCACATCAAAGCTACTTCCTTCCAACTTTGTGTCTGTGGGCTTGTCTGGGGGTGCGCACTCAGTGATCAGGCGAGACCGGGCGGGACACCGGGCGAGGAGAGTGGTCGACTCAAAGTCTAACAACCCCAAATCGAGGGCGGGGAACAGTTCCCAAATTGTATTGCAACATGCTCCGTCTCGCAGGTCGGTGCTCTCGCCAGGACTTGCGGCCACGCTGCCGGCAGCGAAGGGGGCGCGGATGTCGCCGATGCCGACGGGGTGGCGAAGCTTGCTACCTGTAGCTTTCGCGACAGATCCGGGCTCTTCCGTGCCATCGGGTTGGAGTCAACCCTACACCCTAAACCCTAAACCTCAAACCCCAAACCCTAAACCCTAAACCCTAAGTTGCCTGAAGTCCTAAAGTCGGAAAGGCACGGTATCAAGTGTTCAAGGTCGGTGCTTCGAAGCTGCCCTCAGGAAGCCCTGGGAGGCCCTTTTCTTGACTGTTAGCTAGTAGGGAATGGGGGAATGAGGTGCCCTATATAATCCCTTATAGGGTATATACAGGGCCCTATTTCCCTCATTCCCTGCTAACCAGCAGTAAGTTTTGCGTTCCTCTTCCTGCAATCTCAGAACTTGGAGGCTTCTGTACTTTACGGCTTTACGAGCTTCAAGTACAGTCAATGTCTCCTCATGAATCTCTGGTTCATCTTCAAACAACTCTAAATCTGAGATCTCATTTGACTCAGTTTTGAACATTAAGAGAAAAGAAAAGACTGTCCCTTACTTATTCAACTTCTTCAAGGCATCTAAAATCGGAGAGTCCAAGAGTTTAGGGTTTAGGGTTTAGGTTTCAGGGCACGCCAGACTTCGAGGTTTCACATGAGTTCAGCCTCAGACCAACTGTGCTGCCAAGGCTTTCCCTGAAAAATCTGGCCGCAGGCCGCTGGGTGGCCAAAATGGCCACTTCTCTAAATTAGGGTCTCTTTTGGGGTTGCTATCATAAGGCGGCCCCCGAAACCCTAAACCCTAACCCCTAACCCCTAAACCCTAAACCCTAAACCCCAAACCCAAAACCCAAAACCCAAAACCCTAAACCCTAAACCCTGGCCCCTTTTTGTATTTTGGGGTACCCAAAGAGGGGCCATCATGTTGAGAGCTCACCATTTTCCTGAAGCTCCTTGCAGCGAGGGCGCCACTGTGTTTCCGCTCGTGCTTTCCTGCCCGAGCAGGTGGCGAGCAGATCAGGGTTTAGGGTTTAGGGTTTAGGGTTTAGGGTTTAGGGTTTAGGGTTGAGGGTTCAGGGTTTAGGGCTTAGGGCTTAGGGTTAGGGGTTAAGGCTTGGGGTTTGGGGAAGGATGTGCCCAGAGTTACGGGTTCAGAAGCTGAGAGGCAGGAGGCCGATTGCACTTTTCAAACGGGGCTTAGGGTTTTAGGGTTCATGGGGTTTAGAGGGTTTAGAGGGTCCAGAGGGTTTAGAGGGTTCAGAGGGTTTAGAGGGTTCAGAGGGTTTAGAGGGTTCAGAGGGTTCAGAGGCTTTAGAGGATTCAGCGGGTTTAGAGGGTTCAGAGGGTTTAGAGTGGGTTTAGAGGGTTCATAGGGTTTAGAGGGTTTACAAGGGTTTCTAGGGGTTATGGGGTTTACAGGTTTTATGGCGCTTATAGGGTTTAGGTTAGGCAAGTGAAGTCCTTCTCGTGGTCCGACACCTCACCAGTGTCCTGTCCCAAGGCAAGGACTTCGGGGGCGGCCAACTTAGGCTTTACACATGGGCCTTTCCCAAAATAGGGTGCATCCCCCAAAACAGTCTAAGTTCTTGGAACCCCCACAAAGGGTACCCTATTTTCCAAAAACCCCCCACATGGCCTTCTAGAGTAGAGGGTTTCATAGCAGTTTGAGGGGGGACTTGGGATGGCGGACACTTCCAGGCTCTTGGCGTGGAGCCCCTGCTTGAGGCGGGAGAGAGTGAGGATCTAAGCCAGGGCCATGAACAAACCAAGCCGGGTGATTGTTTATCGTGGGGTGGGGTCCTGAATTGCTGGCAATCCGGATGCTACAGCCAGAAGGACCAGTACTTCGAATGAGACTATGAGATGGGACCTCAGACGAGCTGAGACTCTCCGACTCGGAAGGATGCTTGAGAATCATGCGGGTTGCTCTCCGAACGGTCAGCAACTCGCCAAAACCCCCTTGTCCTTGAAGCTCCTGGACACACTGCGCTGTGAGTCAGGGGGAGCTGCAGCCTCCGGCTGGGACAGTGGAAGGCCCACAACCTTGGCTTCTCATAGCACCCCCTGGTGCACCCCTTATAGGCCCTTCTAAGGCCCTTATACGCAACTCAAACAGCTGATGACCTTCTGGGGTTCACGTAGAGGGGCCAATCTTGAACTCGAATGGCCAAGTCCAAACCCAGCGGCCGGTGGCACGGAGTTGCCCTTGAAGCCCTCTCCAGGTCTGTCGGTCGCCTGGGACTCCGGGGCCTCCGACTTGCTGGGCCCACGCGACCCGCGCGGGGACCTCGGGGATCTGGCGGCCGTGTCGGCAGATGTTTGGGTCAGCTCCAGGTCATCCTTTCCCGCTTCCTCGTCGGAGACGTCGGCCTCGAACTCCTTAGGAGGAGACACTGAGGTGAACATGTGGGGGTTATCAGGGAATGCAGAGCATGGTCACACACGACTTGGAGCTCGACGTCGCAGTCATACCTGGGCCAAGGCTTGTATATTGAGATGGGTACCCTGGCTGAGGTACAACTTGAAACTTTATGAAACTGATTTATTATGTCATAGCCACGGCTGCAGTTTGTATTTACTAACTCCGCTTACTTCTTGAAGCAGCGAAAGACTGATATCTGTCGAAAGCAGCTTCGACATGTCATGTAGACTTCAACGTTTCTTCCTGTTTCATGCCACATTCCATCCCTGCATTCCTGCCAGGGTTTGAGGAACCCTTCGTGCGGTTGGAGACTGCATGTTTCTTTGATGTAGCATGTTCATGGCACTTTAAACATGATCAACTTCACACTTGTGTTGTTTGGCGAACTCTTATTCTTCTTCCGCTTCTTCTTATTCTGCTTCTTCTTCTTCTTGTTCTTGTTTTTGTTATTGTTCGCGCTTTCGCTTTTTCTTCTTCGGCACCTCTCTCGTTCTGTCTCTTTTGTCTTCCGTACAGATGTGTTAACATGAAAGATGCCAAAGGCTATATTTGTGCTGACAATGTAGCATCGTTACAGTTTAGGAGTCTAGGAGTCCATAATTAAGCACAATGCCCGCAATTCATACCTTGCGTCGGAGATGCTCGTCCTCTTCAGGCTCCTGCGTCAGGGCTCACAAAGCCCAGAGCTTGCACAGAGAATCAGGGCCTCATGATTCACGACTTTGCCTTGCAGCGCTCTACCACACATGTGCAACATAGTCTACCCAAATACCCCGGAAAGATGAGCACGTTAGGGCAGCCTTGAAGATGACAGTCGACTATGTAGGGTCTGGGGTACTAGGGTTTTTGGGGGTTCAGGGGACAGATGAAGCGAAGGAACCGGCGGGTTGGGATGCCCAAAAATGTGCAAACCCGCCAGTTGTTCTAGGGAAGCCCTGGGTTCTTTTCAGTATCTACCTTTATCGCACCACATGGGGGGTTTACGAAATAAGGTACCCCTAACTCAAATAGTAAGATTCCCTTATAATAAGGACCCCCACCCCCCCTATCTTCTTAAACCCCCACCTGACTCAGGCTCCTGTAGTCTGATTTTCAGCATCGTCAGCCCTACCATTCTTACTCTTGACGAGTATCGTGGCTTATGGTGACTTGTCGGCCAGCCTCCGAAGGGTCAGCTACCGATTCCTGCACCTCCGAACGGCAGCAAGTTTTCTGCATTTCAGACGTTTCATTTGAGGTCACAATATTATTCAATAATAGTTATTCAACAACAATTACTGTTCAATAATAACTATTCAATAATGACAGATTTGCGGAAAGGCACTTCCCGCCCCTGTTGCCTGAACTTGGAATCTGGCGGGCGTTGGGGAACGAAAGCCGCGAAGCTATCTCTTGATTTGCCTTCTCTGTTTCTGTTGTCACTGTAAGAATGCCGCCGAGATTCCACCAATCTGCTCAGAGTTTAGAGTTGAAAAGCGTTGAGACACACGTTTCGAAGCCCCACCACCCCCAAACCTAAGCAAAACTCGAAGAAGCCTCCCAAAAACACCGTTAAAGGACCCTAACCTAATCTGCCCACTTCGCCTGGACCATGTCTGTGGCTCCGAGATCCACAGAAGCCTCCACCTGCGGCTGTTTTTGGACTCAACAGACTTTGTGGTGTCGGCTTTCGGCTTGCGCTTACAGGCACATAGGATCACATAGGTTTGTCGCGGCCAAACCGGTGTAAAGTCAGCATAAGTCAGCCCAACCCCTGTGGCACGCGGCAAAGGAAGGCAGATGAAGCAAGCAACAACATCGAACCCGCAAGGGCACATGGCTTGCGTGAGCGTTCGTGCCTTGAAGCCTTAAAACAGCACTTGCAAGCGGTTTTGAACAGCCAAGCTGCAAGGACGCATGTTTTAGGCCCATGCAGGGGGAAGCATCCTAGCCATCAGTCGTACTGAACCCTTCCAGAGCTGCCCTCCCTAAACCTAGACCCATCTCGAGGAAGGGGGCGAGTTTTAAGGTATCCCAACAGTCGGAGGTACCCATCCTTGGACCCTTCCAGCTCCCCCAACTCCAGCCGAACGTTTGGGACTTAGGTGTTGAAAGGGGATCCAGAACAGGCGCGAGCGTGCGCGAGGTCTGCGCGAGGTGGGCTTCAAAACTGCCCAAAGTCTATGCCCAAGCATCATGTTGGAACTGGATACGAGTACCACAACCCCAGACTGCAGCCCTGACCCCGAACCAGCACAAAACCGTAGACGTTTTTCAAAGGACGCCCATGTCTGGCCTTGGTTGCGGCGTCGGCGGTGTCGCTTGCCTCCACGTGTCAGGGGGACTGCATTGAAAACCGTAGCGTACAAACTGTGTTCTCGCCTCTGAAGATTGGGGTCTGTTTGGAGCTGAACCCTAAACCCTGAACCCGAAAAAGCCTCAACCATGATGTCGAGAAGTGACCTTATAAACCCGGAGGCGAAACGCCTGAAGCCCTAAGTCCTGGACCCCGAAGTATACCCCTAAAGCCCCCCTTCTGCCAGCACTGTCTATATTACGATCTTCATACTCTTTTGTATAGTTGAATATGATCTATGTAATGCAAAATGTGCGATGTGTCGTATGCACTGCCAGGACGAAATGATAACAGTTGAGAGCAAGGGACATGCCAAAGGCCCTGCTCATATGCCAACCCATCGTCCCTACTTCTGAGTCGCAAAGAACGCAGAATTTGCCCGACCTTCTCGCTTTGCACACGGTACGGGTCACCGAAATGCTTTCCTTCTTCTCCCGGACACTAGCACTAGCACACGCCGACCATTGTACCAGAGTCTTGGCTCTTCGACTCCAAACGAGTGGCACTCGCCTGCTCCTTCCCAGCTGCCTCCTCCGGCGCGCTAAGGGCCTTCCACTGCAACCAAGGATGTTGAGGTTAAGGTGGTAACTGAGTTCCTTCCGCTGTCTCGCCATAAAAGAAAGCCCTAGCCTACAGCACATTCACTGACTCGTGTTTTCTCCCAAATAGCCAGTGCGTTAAAGATGAAACTAGCCTGAGCTGCGCCAGCAGCCGCGCTTTCCTTCTCCTGGATACACATCGGCATGGAGACACAGTCTTGGCCACTCGACTCAAAACCAGTGGCACTCGCCTGCTCCTTCCCAGCTGCCTCCTCCGGCGGGCTAAGGGCCTTCCACTGCAACCAATGATGTTAGTGGTAACTGAGTTCCTTCAACCGCTGCCTCACCAAATAAGAAAGCCCTAGCCTACAGTACATTCACTGACTCGTGTTTTCTCCCCAATAGCCAGGCGTTAAAGATAAAACTAGCCTGAGCTGCGCCAGCAGCCGCGCTTTCCTTCTCCTGGATACACATCGGCATGGAGACACAGTCTTGGCCACTCGACTCAAAACCAGTGGCACTCGCCTGCTCCTTCGCAGCTGCCTCCTCCGGCGGGCTAAGGGCCTTCCACTGCAACCAATGATGTTAGTGGGAACTGAGTTCCTTCAACCGCTGCTTCACCATATAAGAAAGCCCTAGCCTACAGTACATTCACTGACTCGTGCTTTCTCCCAAATAGCCAGGCGTTAAAGATGAAACTAGCCTGAGCTGCGCCAGCAGCCGCGCTTTCCTTCTCCTGGATACACATCGGCATGGAGACACAGTCCTGGCCACTCGACTCAAAACCAGTGGCACTCGCCTGCTCCTTCGCAGCTGCCTCCTCCGGCGGGCTAAGGGCCTTCCACTGCAACCAATGATGTTAGTGGGAACTGAGTTCCTTCAACCGCTGCCTCACCATATAAGAAAGCCCTAGCCTACAGTACATTCACTGACTCGTGCTTTCTCCCAAATAGCCAGGCGTTAAAGATGAAACTAGCCTGAGCTGCGCCAGCAGCCGCGCTTTCCTTCTCCTGGATACACATCGGCATGGAGACACAGTCCTGGCCACTCGACTCAAAACCAGTGGCACTCGCCTGCTCCTTCACAGCTGCCTCCGCCGGCGGGCTAAGGGCCTTCCACTGCAACCAAGGATGTTGAGGTTAAGGTGGTAACTGAGTACCTTCAACCGCTGCCTCACCAAATAAGAAAGCCCTAGCCTACAGTACATTCACTGACTCGTGTTTTCTCCCCAATAGCCAGGCGTTAAAGACAAAACTAGCCTGAGCTGCGCCAGCAGCCGCGCTTTCCTTCTCCTGGATACACATCGGCATGGAGACACAGTCTTGGCCACTCGCCTCAAAACCAGTGGCACTCGCCTGCTCCTTCCCAGCTGCCTCCTCCGGCGGGCTAAGGGCCTTCCACTGCAACCAAGGATGTTGAGGTTAAGGTGGTAACTGAGTTCCTTCAACAGCTGTCTCGCCATAAAAGAAAGCCCTGGCCTACAGTACATTCAGAATTCACTGACTCGTGTTGTCTCCCAAATAGCCAGGCGTTAAAGATGAAACTAGCCTGAGCTGCGCCAGCAGCCGCGCTTTCCTTCTCCTGGATACACATCGGCATGGAGACACAGTCTTGGCCACTCGACTCAAAACCAGTGGCACTCGCCTGCTCCTTCCCAGCTGCCTCCTCCGGCGGGCTAAGGGCCTTCCACTGCAACCAAGGATGTTGAGGTTAAGGTGGTAGCTGAGTTCCTTCAACCGCTGTCTCGCCATTAAAGAAAGTCCTAGCCTGCAGTACATTCAGTGACTCGTGTTTGCTCCCAAATAGCCAGGCGTTAAAGACAAAACTAGCCTGAGCTGCGCAAGCAGCCGCGCTTTCCTTCTCCTGGATACACATCGGCATGGAGACACAGTCTTGGCCACTCGCCTCAAAACCAGTGGCACTCGCCTGCTCCTTCACAGCTGCCTCCGCCGGCGGGCTAAGGGCCTTCCACTGCAACCAAGGATGTTGAGGTTAAGGTGGTAACTGAGTTCCTTCAGCCGCTGTCTCGCCATTAAAGAAAGCCCTAGCCTACAGTACATTCACTGACTCGTGTTTTCTCCCAAATAGCCAGGCGTTAAAGATGAAACTAGCCTGAGCTGCGCCAGCAGCCGCGATTTCCTTCTCCTGGATACACATCGGCATGGAGACACAGTCTTGGCCACTCGACTAAGAACCAGTGGCACTCGCCTGCTCCTTCCCAGCTGCCTCCTCCGGCGGGCTAAGGGCCTTCCACTGCAACCAAGGATGTTGAGGTTAAGGTGGTAACTGAGTTCCTTCAACCGCTGCCTCACCAAATAAGAAAGCCCTAGCCTACAGTACATTCACTGACTCGTGTTTTCTCCCCAATAGCCAGGCGTTAAAGACAAAACTAGCCTGAGCTGCGCCAGCAGCCGCGCTTTCCTTCTCCTGGATACACATCGGCATGGAGACACAGTCTTGGCCACTCGACTCAAAACCAGTGGCACTCGCCTGCTCCTTCCCAGCTGCCACCTCCGGCGGGCTAAGGGCCTTCCACTGCAACCAAGGATGTTGAGGTTAAGGTGGTAACTGAGTTCCTTCAACCGCTGTCTCGCCATAAAAGAAAGCCCCAGCCTACAGTACATTCACTGACTCGTGTTTTCTCCCCAATAGCCAGGCGTTAAAGACAAAACTAGCCTGAGCTGCGCCAGCAGCCGCGCTTTCCTTCTCCTGGATACACATCGGCATGGAGACACAGTCTTGGCCACTCGACTCAAAACCAGTGGCACTCGCCTGCTCCTTCCCAGCTGCCTCCTCCGGCGGGCTAAGGGCCTTCCACTGCAACCAAGGATGTTGAGGCTAAGGTGGCAACTGAGTCCCTTCAACCGCTCTCTCGCCGTAAAAGAAAGCCCTAGCCTACAGTACATTCAGAATTCACTGACTCGTGTTGTCTCCCAAATAGCCAGGCGTTAAAGATGAAACTAGCCTGAGCTGCGCCAGCAGCCGCGTTTTCCTTCTCCTGGATACACATCGGCATGGAGACACAGTCTTGGCTCTTCAGTTTTGTTCCCACTACCTTGGCTGAGGAAGCCTCCAACGAGCGACCTAGGACCCCAGGATTTGACGAGCGATTTGGCTCAGATTTGCCTCCCGGATGACCTCTGGAATGATATCGCATGTTGCCTAGAGGGCCTCGCCACGACAGCACTCACCCCACAAGAAACGGGAAACAGGGGGGGGGGGGGGGAGAGGGGTCGTTCCAGGTCCCGTATTTGGGTTGGTTTTGCTTCATGAGGGCTCGATGGGGGACAAGCCAAAAGTGCATGGCGCATGTCACGTAGGGCTTATATTTCTTGTACCCCCAAAAGGACACCCAGTACATACACTCACCAACAGTAAACAGTAATATAAACCCTGTTTCATGTCAAGCGAGGGCTGAGTGGCTCCGTAACATGAGGTTAAGCCCTAAACCCTAAACCCTAAACCCTAAGCCCTGAAACCGTGAACCCTTAACCCTAAACCCTAAACCCGAAGCCCTGAAACCCTGAACCCTAAACCCAAACCCGAAACCCTAAACCCCTGAAACCTTTTCTCCCAAGTTTTGTCGTGCTGAATGCAGGGGCTGGCCTTCGCGGAGGCAGCTTTCGCCTCTCTCAGCAAGTCCCATGCATTGCTGAGGCTCTTTCTAGGATGCTACCCGGCATCCCATGACCCCCCTAGTATATGAAATCCTTATGAAACCTTTTTTTGCGAGCAAACTACAGGTGGAATTGCACGAAACACCCCCAACTTTATTCCCAATCCCATGCTCGTCTGCGGGAGAGGGCCTTGGCAGTCCGCTTGCCTGCCTCTGGCGTTGCATGTGCCTCAGGGCAAAGCGCAAAACCACTTGCTCATGGATGCCTGCTGGCCGAGACTCTAAGCATCTGTAAACTTCGATAACTCCAGGACGAAGGATCACTCAGAAGTGATATTTCGCGAAAGCATCTGAATCTGGGTATACGAATGCAACAAGTAGTGGGGTCTGGGATGGCGTAGCTGCGTGCCCCCCACCAGGAACCCTACAAGGGGTAACTTGGGGGGTTTAGGGTTTTATAGGGGCTGCGTGCTACCTGACACCTTCCTTGTCCCAACTCAGGCGGCCTTGGCTCTGGCCCTTGCTGTTGCTTTGGCCCTCTTCAGCTTCTCCTGACGAGGGAAATTTCCCCCTCGCGAATCCCAGAGCTGTCTGCCGAGTAAAACCAGGCTGCCGCGCCTCCAGCGCAGGAGCAGACGCCTGCCTGGTTGACCGGCACTTGCCATATGGTGAGCTCATCAGAACATCAGGTCACTCTTTGGGTGCCTACAAATATTCGTGGCCGCCTGATCATAGCAACCCCTAGCTACGACCATAGTTTCGAGAAGTGTCCACATGGCGGGGCGGAGGGGGGGGGGGGTCAGAACGATGGTCCCTTTTAACGCGTGCCCGGATTCATGTACAGTCTGCACGGGAACCTTTCGACAGTGACGCCGATACTGCATTGCAAGAGCCTTCCGACCCGACAAGTTCGGACCCTCCTGGTTGAAGCAGGCCCGGTCGCGGAGGTGCAGCCTTTGTCTTTGGCAGCAAGGGGGCATGGGTGCATGCTGAGCCACCATCAACCCCGCTTGTCTTTGAATCCCTAACCCCTAAACCCTAAACCCTAAATCCTGGAAGTTCTCGGCATGTCGGCATGTTCAGGATGCTTGCAGAACTCTTCTAAGCTAAGGCCTACATGCAGTTTTTGGGGGGGCACTCCGTGGAGACATTGTGGCATGGAGCATGCACCCGACGTAGACAAGGGCAGTGTTGTGCAGAGACTTGTTGATGACACGGTCGTCTTTCGCCTTCGCCTTCATCTCTACGACTTGTACTAGGGCCAGATGAAAACCCTAAACCCCTAAATTTAAAGCCCTTAAACCCCTAAACCCCTAAACCCCGAAACCCCTAAACCCCAAGAACGGTGCTACTTTAAATTGCAGTCTCGGAGCCAGCTGCCGAAGTGGAAGCTTCCCGGCCAGACCTTGGAAAGCAAAGCACCCAGGAGTCTTGTTTGGGCCTTTTTGAGATCGAGGGCGTCATGTTAGGATTTAAGTGTAGGGTGTTAGACATGACTCACCAGCACATGGCACACACAGGGCTGCACAGAGCCCCTCATACCTAGCAGCTAGCCGGCAGCTAGCCTGTACCCTGACTTCGGCAGACAGGTGGACAGGTGACCAACAGTCTGGAATAGGAAACCTCCCACTCACGCAAAAAACGGACTCTCAAACGCACATGTGATTCCGATTCCTTGCCTGCTCTAGCCGGCCTCCCCTTGACGACACTGCGAGCCGACACGGCTCCAAAGCCTTGCGGCAGGGACCCCCAGTGGGCACATTAGCGCATCGTCCCACTGTCATATGCGCAAAGTGCGTGGCACGTTGGCCGAGAAAGGACCCCGAGGCGTCACTGTCAGGCCAGAGATCTCTCCTGCACAGACGGTTTTGCCCAAAACCACGCAGTGTGCCCCACACCCGGCCAACGGTGCGCAAGCTGCTCCAATTGCACTTCAGCAGCTTTTGGGTAGGGCAAGGTACCTGCGGTGAACCTGCTTTGCGCCAAGTGCCACATCAGTACGGCCTTTCAGAAAATTCAAGGGGGTACACAACATGTCGGCAATGGTGACGCAGATGTGAGCCCTTGCCTGCTCTAGCCGGCCTCCCCTTGACGACACTGCGAGCCGACACGGCTCCAAAGCCTTGCGGCAGGGACCCCCAGTGGGCACATTAGCGCATCGTCCCACTGTCATATGCGCAAAGTGCGTGGCACGTTGGCCGAGAAAGGACCCCGAGGCGTCACTGTCAGGCCAGAGATCTCTCCTGCACAGACGGTTTTGCCCAAAACCACGCAGTGTGCCCCACACCCGGCCAACGGTGCGCAAGCTGCTCCAATTGCACTTCAGCAGCTTTTGGGTAGGGCAAGGTACCTGCGGTGAACCTGCTTTGCGCCAAGTGCCACATCAGTACGGCCTTTCAGAAATTCAAGGGGGTACACAACATGTCGGCAATGGTGACGCAGATGTGAGCCCTTGCCTGCTCTAGCCGGCCTCCCCTTGACGACACTGCGAGCCGACACGGCTCCAAAGCCTTGCGGCAGGGACCCCCAGTGGGCACATTAGCGCATCGTCCCACTGTCATATGCGCAAAGTGCGTGGCACGTTGGCCGAGAAAGGACCCCGAGGCGTCACTGTCAGGCCAGAGATCTCTCCTGCACAGACGTTTTTGCCCAAAACCACGCAGTGTGCCCCACACCCGGCCAACGGTGTGCAAGCTGCTCCAATTGCACTTCAGCAGCTTTTGGGTAGGGCAAGGTACCTGATGCGGTGAACCTGCTTTGCGCCAAGTGCCACATCAGTACGGCCTTTCAGAAAATTCAAGGGGGTACACAACATGTCGGCAATGATGACGCAGATGTGAGCCCTTGCCTGCTCTAGCCGGCCTCCCCTTGACGACACTGCGAGCCGACACGCATTGAAGCTTGCAGTGTAAGCCGCTCTGGCAGCTCCAAAGCCTTGCGGCAGGGACCCCCAGTGGGCACGTTAGCGCATTGCCCCACTGTCATATGCACAAAGTGCGTGGCACGTTGGCCGAGAAAGGACCCCGAGGCATCACCATCAGACGACGGCTCTTGCCCAAAACCACGCAGTGTGCCCCACACCCGGCCAACGGTGTGCAAGCTGCTCCAATTGCACTTCAGCAGCTTTTGGGTAGGGCAAGGTACCTGATGCGGTGAACCTGCTTTGCGCCAAGTGCCACATCAGTACGGCCTTTCAGAAAATTCAAGGGGGTACACAACATGTCGGCAATGATGACGCAGATGTGAGCCCTTGCCTGCTCTAGCCGGCCTCCCCTTGACGACACTGCGAGCCGACACGGCTCCAAAGCCTTGCGGCAGGGACCCCCAGTGGGCACGTTAGCGCATTGCCCCACTGTCATATGCACAAAGTGCGTGGCACGTTGGCCGAGAAAGGACCCCGAGGCATCACCATCAGACGACGGCTCTTGCCCAAAACCACGCAGTGTGCCCCACACCCGGCCAACGGTGTGCAAGCTGCTCCAATTGCACTTCAGCAGCTTTTGGGTAGGGCTACCTGATGCGGTGAACCTGCTTTGCGCCAAGGGCCATCAGCACAGCTTGTCAGCACCATTAAACAGCATTCTCATGGAGTACCAAGTTCGTGATCCGCAACGGTGAGGGGTGGATGGAGGGGACATGTTGCGGGAGGACGACACCTTGGATGCACAGGGCAAATCTACTGCCATAGCCAACAGCGAAGAATCCGCCACACCTGTCTACTTGAATAAACAATCGAAAGCCACTGCCCGCGGAAAGTATTCAAGCACCGGCCAGGACCACCCTAAACCCTAAACCCTAAACCCTAAACCCTAAACCCTAAACCCTAAACCCTAAACCCTAAACCCTCATTGCCTCCATTCTTTCAACGCGCAAACAGGCAAACGGGTGCTGGGCCTCCGCTTGTCCAGGGGCACCCGCTCTGATGCCTGGCGCAGGACTGCTGCAAAATTGAGGAGGCATTGAACATAAACCTGAACCCTAAACCCTAAACCCTAAACCCTAAACCCTAAACCCTAAACCCTAAACCCTAAATCCCAATAATAGTACTCTCGACGCGTCCTCACAGCGGTGGGGGTGGGGGGGGGGGACCCCCACGCCGCGGATGCAACTGATGCTGTTGCGCGCGACGCGCACGTGCACGTGCACGGTCACGCGCACGCATGCGCGCGCGCACGTGCACGCGCAGCATGCGCGCGCGTACGCGCTACGCGCACGCGCACGCGCACGCGCCACGCGCCGCGCACGCGCACGCAGAGGATTATATATAGGGTCTCGGCTGTCGCTTCCTGTTCTTTCTTCTCTTCTGCTTCCTGTTCATTTGTTTTATTATTCTTTGTTTTTCTTACTTGTCTTCTTCTTTTTGTTATTCTTTGTCTTCTTCTTTCTCTTCTTAGTATTCTTATTTTTCTTCCTCTTGTTATTCTTCATTCTTTGAATTATTCTTCTCCTGTTTCTTCTTCTTTCCTTTATTATTCTTCTGATTATTCTTCTTTATTTTCTTATTATTCCTTTTGTTCTTTCTTTTCTTCTTCTTCTTTTCATTCTTCTTTGTTTTCTTCTTCTTCTGTTTATTCTTCTTTATTTCTTATTCTTCTTTCTCTTCTTCTTTTTCTTCCTTTACCCTTTCGTCTTGTCATTCTTCTTTCTTTTCTTTTCTTCTTTTTCTTCTTTATGTTATTATTATTCTGTTTCTTCTTCTTCTTCTTCTTCTTCTTCTTCTTCTTCTTCTTCTTCTTCTTCTTCTTTCTCTTCTTCTTTTTATTCCTTTACCCTTTCTTCTTGTTATTATTAGTTCTCTTCTTTTCTTCTTCTTCTATTTATTATTCTTTCTTTTCTTCTACCTCTTCTTCTTCTTCTTTGTCTTATTCTTTCTTTTCTTCTTATTTTTTCTTCTTATTTCTCTTCTTACTCTTATTCTTCTTCTTCTTTCTTTTCTTCTTCTTTTTCTTCTTTTTTTATTCTTCTTCTTTCTCTTCTTCTTATTTTTCCAACCCCTAAACCCAAACCCGAGTTTCAGCTTTCAGACGGCCAGGCCGGCCCGTTTCGCAAGGCCTGTAGATAATTACAAAGGTACCCTAAAGGAATATTCATAGTAATTCTTCCGACCCCTCTATTACGCACATATGGGGGGGTTTACGAACATAGGGGGCCCGAATATAGACCCCCAAATAGTAGGATCCCCTCATAATCAGGACCTCATAAGGTACCCAAGAATATAAACCCCCATATTGTTAGATCGCTGATTCTGAAAAATGTAGTAATAGATTATTTCAGTATCACGTTATTGAAACACTCGATTAGTTTATTCGAATGCCATTACAAGACGTATATGTATATACATACATATATACGTACACATATATATATATATATATGCACTTTTCTATTGTTCTACTATTCTTGTGTTTTTCGCATATTCCGTATCTATGTTATGTTCTTCTGTAGTTATGGGATTTTGCTCTTCAATTCTTCTGTGATTCTGGTATTCGGGTATTAGATTATTCCAATATTCGACTATTCTATATTCTGCCATTCCATTATGTTACTATCTTTATTTTGACATTTGGTTGTATTTTCTGTCACTACTTTAACTGTTTTCGCGATTACATTCATGAATCAAATCGGGAATCCTTCGCAGTCCCTGTTGCTGGCCCTATTGCTCTGTGCCTGGCTCATTTCACCATTCGAGCTGCTACAGTACCAACGAGTTGTGTTCGTTGACGTGCGTGTGCCTTGCTCCTTTGCCCAGCTGCACAACCCTCCGGGCCTGCAGGTTTGAAGTAGGGTTGGGGTTTTAGGGTTTAGGGCTTAGGGCCTACAATAACCGGGCCCAAACCCTGCAACCGGACAGAAGAAGATTCGAGTTGCTCCGAGGAATGATTCGGACACATCTATAGAGCCCCCCCTGAGGGGGCGAGGTTTCGGCTTGAATTCAGCTGTAGATTGGGATGGATGTTCACCCCCTTATACTAACAGTCCTTAATAGGGATTCTAGTATTACAATCCCCATCAAGGACTGATAGTATAAGGGGGTAGACTTTGCTTCCGAAGGCACCCGAAACTTAAAGTAAGCTTGCCCAGCTTAGAACCCGTAATATCCCGTAATCTGCCTGGCTTGTGGACGTCGACTTTCTGCCCGGCTCCTTCGCATTTGGCGCCCTGTGGAGTTCCTGTGCGGCGCGGTGGTGCGCAGCGTCGTTCATGTGCTGATGCTATCACTCTCGGGGTTTCGGGCTTAGGGCTTGGATTTCCCGTTTATGTCTTTGGGGGCTGACATGAAGTAGAAGTAGCTCTCCCGTGGACGGTTCGCTCCCACGGGTCTTTTCACAAGCCGCAAGCGCTTGTCTCCCGCCGCGAGCTTGTCCAAGGCCACATTCTGGCCAGCATACAGAGACATGCCGATCCGTTGCAGGAGGCGCACGGCCTCCAGCCTGCAGCGAACGCTAAGGGCCCTCGTGAGTAGCTGAGCGGCAGCTTGCTGTTGCATCTGCCCGAGTCCTCGGCCAATCACAGCAATCATGCTGGACATACGAAGTTCCTATAAGCACTAAGCATCCCAACCTGAATGGTTGGCCTGGCACTGGGCATCCAAAAATGTCCGAAAGCATGTCCAAGTGTCCGACAAGCAAGACGTTGATCCCTGCCCACTCCTTCTTGGGAAGCAAAGCTTCCAAGCTCTTCCGCGTCTGTTCGGGAGTGCTGCTCTTCACCCACCGGAGCTTGTTGGCGATGCGATGCACGTGGGTATCCACACAAATGCCTGTGGGGCGGTTGAATGCACTGTGCATCACCAAGTGTGCCATCTTGGGGCCAATGCCCGGCAAAGAGAGAAGTCCATCCATCGTTTGGGGAATCCGCCCCTTGTGATCTCTCAGGCAGACCTTCGCCGCAGCCTTCAGCGTCTTAGCCTTCACATGGACCCTGCGCCCTAAACCTTACATGCTACACACGTCCTCAAGTCCTACACCCTAAGCTTCTTAAGATCCTTAAGTCGCCCTAAACCCTATAAACCCTAAACCCTCAACCCTAAACCCTGAACCCTAAACCCTAGCAGGACATCCGAAAGCCTTCACATTGTGGAAGCCAACCGCGCTGATCAGCTTCGCCAGCTTCGGCTCGGTCGTGGCGGCGATGTTCTCCACCCTGTTGCCGTGCTTGTGCAAAACCTGGGCGGTGGAGGGTTTAGGTTTTAGGGTTTAGGGTTTAGGGTCTAGGGTCTAGGGTTTAGGGTTTAGGGCTTTTTGTTGGGTTTAGGGTTTAGGGTTTCGGGTGGTGCAGGTTGCAGGAGGTTGAAGGAGTTAAGGCGGTGTTTAGGGGTTAGAGTTATGGCAAGCTTAAACTCTGGCTGGGGGTAGGACTCTTCGCAGCGCAAGTTGCCGGCACAAGTTGCTAAGTCCGCCGAGGCCTCGGGCCGGAGGTGTTTTGGTTGTGAGAACAGGCACCCCCCGAAATCCTCCCCCCACACCCAAACCATGTTTCGGACCCCTTTTTTTGCCTCAAATGGGTACCCCCCCCCTGGTAAACCGGGTCCGCAAGCGGACGGTTCGCCAGGACCAGAGCCCCCCCTTTTCCCCCCCAACCCCCCCTTTTCCCCCCCTCCCCCCACACCCTTTACCCCACCCAAAGCTGAGCGGGTTTTCGAGGCTCAACTGGTGTGAGCACGGCCGGGGAGCCATTACACGAGCCGAAGAGTCTAAGCTTGAACCTATACCCTAAACCTGAAACCTTAAACCTTAAGCCCGAAGCACTCCCCCCCCCCCCCCCCCCCCCCCCCCCCCCCCCCCCCCCCCCCCCCCCCCCCCCCCCCCCCCCCCCCCTGAGGGGCCTGGCTCAACTCTACGATCAATCCAAGCCGAACCGTCTCTTGAACCCTAAACCCAAAAAAACCCTAAACCCCAAAGGGTGAACCTTGAGCCCTAAGCCCTCAATCCTAAACTAACCCTCAACCCCAAACCCCAAACCATAAACCATAAACCCGGAACCCTAAACCCTAAACCCAACCCTTATTGCTTGGGGTCCAGCGACTTGGGCGCTGCGGAATCACCATGCTCACGCGGATGCGCTGGGCCTGGCCGAGGCGGGTCGCGTAGCGTTAAAATTAGAGAAGACCCTGCCACAATGTATGTGTGTATATATAGGTACATACATATTATACGATTCTGCATATATATATATATATACATACATGTAAAAAGTAATACAGACAGACATCTACATACATATTATACGATTCTGCATATATATATATATATACATACATATAAAGTTATACAGACAGACATCTATACATATATATATATATATAGAATATACACATATATATATATATATGTATTACACTCTCTACGCTACCGTTGCACGTCCTGAACCGCAATCCGGCAGCTCCCATGGCCGCAGCGGTGGCTTGGTCTCGGGTCTGCGAAGACAGCATGGCAGCCACCAGGCATTGCCTAGGATGGCCCCTAAAAAACCTGCTGAAAGATATTCCTATAAATATGATCCTCTTAAACCCTATAATCATGATCCTCTTAAACCCCAAAAATGGAAAACATAAAATATTCCGAAACATGATCCTCTTCAACCCCATAAGGAATATAATATATATATATATATATCATTCCTAAATATGACCCTCTTAAACCCAATAAGGGAAAACATAAACCGTCCCAACGGCCTACCTAGTTGCCATTCATAGGTCTTTTTGGAAGCCTTCGCGTCGGCCAGGCGTTCACATCCTTGGTGGGCAAGGTAGCGGCTAGGATCTGGGGGACCCTTGGGGATATAGACCCTCTCTAACAAGGTCCCTGTTTAAGCGAGCCAGAAGAGGGTTAAGCAGGGTTCCCGTTTAAGGGTCTCCCTTATCCTACCGAGGATATGGCATCCTTACTGAAAAATGCTTAGGTGGCTGTTCACATTCCCCCCCGGTGACATTGCGAGCGGGTTGAACGTCCACCAAATCAGGCCAGCATCCGATGAAATCAACGGGAGCGTCTCCTTTCGCCCTCAGGCGTTTGATGATGGAGAGGTCCTTTTGCCAGCTGGGCGCTCGAGTGCGGCTCGATTTCGACGGTGTTCGCTTCACCATGGCTCACTTTCTTTTCCGCCGACTCGCCCCACGCCAGGACGCAAACCGGCCACAGACCAAGGATGCTTGACGCATGGATTCAGGGTTCTTGGGATCCTAGCAGACCTACGTCTAGTAGGACCATGTTAGTCTTAACTTGTGGTCGAAGTTCCCCAGCTCATGCTGCTGCACTCACTTCGCTCGCTTCACCTGTCTCTGTGTACATCGTCAGATGGGCGCAAGTGGCAGGAAGGGAGTAAGATCAGGCAAGGATGCACGGGGTTAATCTTGCTTCGAGCTGCTGACTCTTAAGACGGACTTCGGCCACAGCCACGTGATCACGATGCCTCTTTCACTGCAGCCCCTCGACGAGGGTCACCTCTTCGTGCTTCCTCACAGCGCGCCGGCTACAAGTTTCAGCGTTGGTTGTCGCGGGATCTGCTTGCCACATGAACATACTGTACATAGCTATCAGGCTTGCACACCTGGTGTCGTGGCTTCCAGCTCAACTCTGTTTCCAAAGAGCGGTAGACTTGGAATGGATGCTGGAAAGTCCACAATAATTTTCGCTGGCTCGGTCTCTTCATACAAAATTATTTTACTTCGAACATCCCCACCCTCTCTGGGTAGAGATACAGTTCTCTGGTGTTGGGCACTCCAGGGGTTGGGCACTCCAGGGACACTCTGGGGCTGGCACTCCAGGGACACTCTGGGGCTGAGCACCCCAGGACACTATTGGGTTGGGAACTCCAGGACACTCTAGGGTGGGCACTTCAGGGACACTCTGGGCTAGGCACTCCCGGGACACTCTTCGGTTGGGTACTCCAGGCACTCTTGGGCACTCCAGGGATGAGCGAGGAGTATACCGGCGAGGAGAAGAGTTCCGGGCGAGGAGCAGAATTGAGTGTAAAATCTAACAACCCCGCACCGAGGGTGGGGAAAAACTGACTTGCATTCTTCACATCATCAACTCCTCCTTCTGGTGCCCAGCATCCTTGGCCGCTTCTTCCCTGCACACAGCCGGGAACCAAACATCAAGTGGCGCTCCAGGCTCGTGCAGTAGAACGCTCTGTCGCAACGCACGCTCTCGCGCCTAAGAGGCTTGGAGGTCTCGTCCTTTGCGACAATCCGCGGAAGGACCGTGGGCAATGCTTTTGCCTCACAGCAGCATGGGCATACCACGCCTTGTGCCTATACGGGTTGTCGGCATGCCCTGGCCATGCTGAACGCACACTCCGGTACTGCTACTATCATGAAGAAACGGAAGTCCTCTGTCTACGTCTGTGCCCTTGCTGCGTTCCAGACCCGCCCATCAGCTGGTTCCAAGTCACATGAGGTTGCTAGCCTTAGGCCTGAAATCATGGACTAGCCAGTCTCAGTGAGTTCCAGGCTTTGGCCATGGCAGCTAGTTGAAAGCCCATTGCCCCAAAACACACACAATCGCTGCGCCCAGTGAGACTTTGTAAGCCTCTGTAAGAAAGCCTAGCCTAGCACCGTAATGTACCCGGTCCTGATCACTCACTGCACACAACCCAAGAAGACAAGACAACCTTGCAAAAACCAATCGTAAGCCCTAAGCCCTAAGCCCTAAGCCCTAAGCCCTAAGCCCTAAGCCCTAAGCCCTAAACCCTAAACCCTAAACCCTAAACCCTAAACCCTAAACCGTCCCCTCCCTTACCCAACTCAAATCCCTTCCCTGGCTGGCTCCTTCGGAGGGCATTTCCGTAGCTTGCTCGAGTCCTGGCTTCGTGTAGCTGCTTGATAGGTGAAATCATTATGAGGGTTAGGGTTTAGGGTTTAGGGTTTAGGGTTTAGGGTTTAGGGTTTAGGGTTTAGGGTTTAGGGTTTAGGGTTTAGGGTTTAGGGTTTAGGGTTTAGGGTTTAGGGTTTAGGGTTTAGGGTTTAGGGTTTAGGGTTTAGGGTTTAGGGTTTAGGGTTTAGGGTTTAGGGTTTAGGGTTTAGGGTTTCAGTGGCTGAAACCAATTTCTACGTCCATTGCCGCCAGGCAGGGCCTGCAATCGGTGTTCCAGACTGCCCGAGACTGCCTGAACTTTCCAAATTGCCCGGTCATTCCAAACCTGAAGGTCAAGTGGCGAGACTCCCGCAGCCAGCAACCCTCCCGCATTTAACGCTTCCTCCTTCCCAAAGCACACGGTGCGAAACGCCATGCGTAACGAAGACACGGGAGACAAAAACTCGGGTGCAACCCTAAACCTAAGCCCTACAAAAAACCATATCTCAAGCCCCTGAAGGCCTAAGGGAAGAAGGACCTAGACCCTAAACCCTAAACCCTAAACCCTAAACCTAAACCCCAAGGAGCCTCCTCCTTTGGAGGCGGACCCAGCAAGGCCGGCAGCGGCAGTGCGCCCTGCTCCGCTTCTCCACTACTTCTGAGCATAACTTGCTGATTCTTAGTAGGAGTTAAGACGTAAAGTGCCTGTAGACAGATAAATACACACATATGTACACATACATGTATATATATATATGCTCACGCCCCCCCCCATGATCCACGTTTCTGCTTCGAAACAGATGGATCTTGGGAGGAGAGGGGGCTATGAGCTAGCGACAAAAACACCGACAGGGTCGATAAAAACCTATATCATTTCAAGTCAGGCAGGTCATTTACATCAACAAGGTAGAAAAACACCCGAAAAATTCATGCTTTTTTAGAAAAAACTCGAGCCGGCTCGAATTTTCCAAAAAAAACTGACACAGTAGATTGCCGAAACACGACCAGGCTCGAATTTTCCAAAAAAAACCTAAATTTCAGGATCTATGGCTCCAGCAGCCCGGTAGATCCTGAAAGTTCGGTTTTTTTGGAAAATTCGAGCCTGCTCGAGTTTCTGGGACCTAAAGCTTCAAGAATTTTAGGAAAATTCGAGCCGGCTCGAATTTTCCAAAAAAAACTGACACAGTAGATTGCCGAAACACCACCAGGCTCGAATTTTCCAAAAAAAACCTAAATTTCAGGATCTATGGCTCCAGCAGCCCGGTAGATCCTGAAAGTTCGGTTTTTTTTTGGAAAATTCGAGCCTGCTCGAGTTTTCGAGACCTGGAGCTTCAAGAATTTTCGGAAAATTCGAGCCGGCCCGAATTTTCCAAAAAAAACTGACACAGTAGATTGCCGAAACACGACCAGGCTCGAATTTTCCAAAAAAACCTAAATTTCAGGATCTATGGCTCCAGCAGCCCGGTAGATCCTGAAAGTTTGGTTTTTTTTGGAAAATTCGAGCCTGCTCGAGTTTTCGAGACCTGGAGCTTCAAGAATTTTCGGAAAATTCGAGCCGGCTCGAATTTTCCAAAAAAACCTGACACAGTAGATTGCCGAAACACGACCAGGCTCGAATTTTCAAAAAAAAACCTAAATTTCAGGATCTATGGCTCCAGCAGCCCGGTAGATCCTGAAAGTTCGGTTTTTTTTTGGAAAATTCGAGCCTGCTCGAGTTTCTGGGACCTAAAGCTTCAAGAATTTTAGGAAAATTCGAGCCGGCTCGAATTTTCCAAAAAAAAACTGACACAGTAGATTGCCGAAACACCACCAGGCTCGAATTTTCAAAAAAAAAACCTAAATTTCAGGATCTATGGCTCCAGCAGCCCGGTAGATCCTGAAAGTTCGGTTTTTTTTTGGAAAATTCGAGCCTGCTCGAGTTTCTGGGACCTAAAGCTTCAAGAATTTTAGGAAAATTCGAGCCGGCTCGAATTTTCCAAAAAAAAACTGACACAGTAGATTGCCGAAACACGACCAGGCTCGAATTTTCCAAAAAAAACCTAAATTTCAGGATCTATGGCTCCAGCAGCCCGGTAGATCCTGAAAGTTCGGTTTTTTTTGGAAAATTCGAGCCTGCTCGAGTTTTCGAGACCTGGAGCTTCAAGAATTTTCGGAAAATTCGAGCCGGCTCGAGTTTTCTAAAAAAATGCTGAAACCATAGCTGTGTGACCCCAAGGCCTCATAGATGACATAATTTAGGTTTTTTTTGGAAAATTCGAGCCTGCTCGAGTTTTCGAGACCTGGAGCTTCAAGAATTTTCGGAAAATTCGAGCCGGCTCGAATTTTCTAAAAAATATGCTGAAACCATGGCTGTGTGACCCCAAGGTCTCATAGATGACAGAATGTAGGTTTTTTTTGGAAAATTCGAGCCTGCTCGAGTTGTGGTGACCTGGTGCCTGGAGATTTTTCGGAAAATTCGAGCCGGCTCGAGTTTTCCCGAAATCTCTTGATATTCTGACTGCGGTAATTGATAAAATTAGTAGCATTAGTTACCAATTCTATTTCAATTGGTAAGTTCCCCATATTTTTTGACGGCAAATATATAACTTGTGAGAAGAGGCCACGCAGTGGTTTAAATCCAACAATCGTTTTGGTCTTAAACCCTTGACAATTAACATAAGAACTACCTTTGTGTCAAAGAAAACTTAAACTATCAATGAGGATATCTGCGGGACCAAAAGTTTCCATGATATATAAAAAGCATAGATAATTTGATTACATATACATACCTTCAACTTGTATTCAATCAAGAAATTCAAAACTATATGACGTGTCTTACTATTATTCTTCTTCCTACCTTTCACCTGCTTAACTGCTTCATCTACTTAATTATTCTCAACTAACTTTCTTATCTCTTCGTAAGCATGTTGTTTAAATTGCTTCTCTATCTTCGATGTCTCTATTTGTTCGTATGTTGTTGCTTTCTTATGAAATGATTATGGCATCAAACTGTTGTTAAAAACTCTTCTTCGGTTATAGGTAGATGTCCTGCTTTGTTTTGAATATTGCCTATATCTTCATAAGGATGTTTTTGTAGAGGGTCTAATGTTGATTTCTTTGATGTTATACTTCCTTTTTCAAACATACTAACGGGGTCTTCTACTTTCCGTATTCATATGTTTTGTCCCAGTGTCTTCTGGTCGTTGTCCTGATACATAAGGAGAACCATAGCTACGACTTCTGAATACATTCCCATAATCATTGTTTATTTGTTGTCCCGATGCTGAACCTAAACTGTGACTTACAATACCAGAAATTCCAGTTTCTTCTTTTCTTTAACCGTCTATTTCAATAGAACCATCTTGAATGAACTTATCTACGTCTTTATAACACTGAGTCAGTTGCGTCTTATATAAAGGAAGGTTTCAATCACCATAAACATCTCTACAGCTTTTAGTCCCAGCAATGTATAAAATAGAACCATTTTTGATATATCCCGTCAGGATTCTCATACGCTAATTTAAGTCCTTGCGTGTCCGTTAAAAATGTCTCTGTCTTTGCGAATTCGTCTCTAACTTCATTATGTAGTCTGCTTCTTGTGTTAGGTGCTTTATTTGAAACCCCTTCATCTCTTCTTTTATGTTCATGCATTATACAATGGTTTATAAGGTAATATTTATCTAATCAATGAATATTGTTGAAGTTCAAGAAGGTGTATATTGGAAGCTACTATGGAGTGAATAACAGGGATTAGCAAACCACACAAAACCAAATCCAGAAACGGATTCTGTTTGTAGATTTCTGTTGTTTAAAAGTGTAGATAATCAATAGCAAGTTGTAGCTTCAGACATGGCAAGACGCGAAAGTATCGTAAATACCGGTGTTTTTTCACTTCAACCATATGTGCAAATAAGCACAGGTGCAGAAGGACAAGCAAGAAAAGGATACACATGGATCATGGGGGGGGGGGTGTGACCATATATATATATATACATATATATATAATCTTAGGGCTGAGTGTCGGGCTCATCAGGTTTAGAGGTTTGTAGGGCTTACGGCTTAACGTTTAGGATGGGTCTTCCTAGTTACATCATGGTCTCTGAACATGGGCCTGGAAACGGGGACCCCTTGTATACCCAAGGGCCCATACTTCAGAACCTTTCAAAGAAGTGAAGGGACCATATTCAGGGACCATGTAACGGGTTCAAGGTTAAGGGGCTTGGGGTTTGAAGGGTGTTTCTGCGGCTGTCTGAGGCATTGAAGTCGGGTTTAGGGTTGAGATGTTAGAAGGGCCTCGTTGAGGGCTTCAGGGGTGGTTGCGGAGTTCGTGGGTTAGGGGCATCAGAACTACAACGCAGCCAAGAAAGGAACTACGAGTCAAATCAATGCAGAAAGAAGGGCCCTGGTGAACCTGGTTTAGAGGGGCTTAGGGTTTAGGGTTTAGGGTTTAGGGCTTCTCACACCCGATCACCCGCTGCGGCAGGATCAGCCTTGGCGTTGCCGTTTGCTGGCCTTAGGGCGTGGTAGTTTCGACGCTTCAAGCAGTAGAAGTCTTGGGGGCCTTAGGGCCTCACTGCGTTTTGGGAGGGGGCGTGCCGGACTTGTCGGCAAGGAGAGCAGCTTTGAGAGCTTTTGCATGGTGGGTGGGTTCGAAAAGGATCGAAAACCCCAACCCTAGACGGCCTAGAGCCCAATAAACCCGAGATTAAACCCTAAAGGCCCTACAATTAACAATCATTAACCAAATCCGACTCCAACCCCCAAAAAGTCCTATCATTGACAAACACCGACTATGAACCCTAAACCAAGCCCTGAAACCAACCAGAGCAACCCTTAAAACCTCTCCTGGCTCAGGGTTTAGGGTTTAGGGTTTAGGATTTAGGATTTAGGGTTTAGGGTTTCGGGAAGCAACCCTTAGGCCGCGGCCTCTTGGCGTCGACCTGCTCCTGAACCAGAGACAGGCGCTCCGAGGCTGCAAGAGATGTACAAAAAGGTCATTGGGCCACCCAACCTTGCATGCCTGTTAAGGGTTTAGGGGGTTTAGGGTTCAGGGTTCAGGGTTTCGGGGTTTAGGGTTTAGGGTTTAGGGTTTAGGGTTTAGGGTGTAGGGTTTAGGGTTTAGGGTTTAGGGTTTAGGGGGCTCCTATATTTTGCGGGCAATGGGAAGCACCAGCCCAGCCTGTAGTTGCCGCTCCAGGTGGGCCAGCGGCGGCAGCCTAACCTTTCCAGTTTCAAGGTCCGGGGTTTAGGCAAAGACTCTAAACCCTAAACCCTAAACCCAAAACCCTAAACCCTGAACCCTACACCCTAAATATCCCAAAACCCTAAACCAAGCTCGCACTTGGTAGAGAACATCTGCATTGCCTGAAGCTGCCGCATTTGATCCCGGGTTGGACACTACTTCAGAGTTACGTAGCCACCCACAGGGTTTAGGGTTTAGGGTTTAGGGTTTAGGGTTTAGGGTTTAGGGTTTAGGGTTTAGGGTTTAGGGTTTAGGGTTGGGTTTAGGGTTTAGGGTTTTGGGTTTAGGGTTTAGGGTTTCGGGTTTAGGGTTTCGGGTTTAGGGTTTGATCGATCAGGACAAAGCGCGCGTGGGGTTTGGGGTTGAAGGCTGCGTTGACACCATGTGATCCATGTGATCAGTGGCTTTCTTGGAAGCCCTCAAGCTTGAATCCCCTACCCCCAGCCCGAACCTGAAGTCCCTAAACGACAGACCCGTTAAATACTAAACCCTTCTCACCCTTAAAGCCCATAAAATATAAACCCTTCACATCCTTCAAACCTTTTGAACCCTTAAAACCCTTAAGCCAATTAAACCCTTCAAACCCTTAACGCCATGCCTTTAAACCCTTTAAACCCTTTAAACCCTTCAAACCCTTTAAACCATTTAAACCCTTCCTTGGATGGACAGACTGGGCCTTGTCGTCTCTGGGAGAGTCGGGTTGTCCACCAAGCCTGGTGTGAGCTGATCTAGGGTTTGGGGTTCTAAGGGTTTAGGGCTAAGGGGCGCGCTTGGCAAGGTCGCGCGCTGGTAAGAGCGCGGTAGTAGACATGCCCACCCCAAGGCCACCCAAACACTACTCAAAACGAAGCCAGCCGGAGCCCAAACCAGCCAAGCCGATTTTACATACCTCCGCAGAGGACACCGTGCTTCGGGCTTGTAGCCTGCACCTTCGGAGCTTGGCCCTAAACCCTAAACCCTTGTCAACCCTAAACCCTAAACCCCAACCCCAATCTCTTCTTGGTACTCCCGCCAAAACCCTAACTGGGTCGACTGGGGAAGGCACTCGCCGCAGAAGAAAAACTGGCCCAGGATTGCTTTCTGTTTCCGCGGCTTCCTGGTTGCTTCAAGGGCTTTTGGTTATAGGGTTTAGGGTTTAGGGTTCAGGGTTTAGGCATCGAGTGATTGCTTGGGTTTAGGCCCTGAAAGTCAAAGTGGCAGGCCAGTGTGTTGACTGACTTCTATGTCAGCACCTAGGACAAGCTGTGCGGGTTAGTCCTGCAGCATCTGACTGCCTCATTCCGAGATTGCCGCCCCCAAAAAATAGATCCAGGTATCAAGCTCTAGTTGATTCCCCCAACACAAACCGGTCCCTGAACTCCTGAACCCCGAAACCCTAAACCTAAACCCTAAACCCTAAACTCTAAACCCTAAACCCAAAAACTCCTGAAAACCCCGAACCCTAACTCCCAAAGCTGGTCATGGCGACAACTCATCGCCACTCGCCGCCACGAGAGTGCAACAGCCACCTGCTGCTGTGGAGGGCTTACGGTTGGGAGTTTGGGGTGTAGGGTTTGGGGGCTTAGGGTTTGAGAGTTTGCAGGGTTTTGGGGCTTCGGTTTAGGGTTTGGGGTTTGGGTTTTTGGGTACTTCAGAGCCTCTAGAACCTTTGGGGGGGGGGGGGGGGGGGGGGGGGTGGCCCTTATGAGGCAGGTCAATTCAAACAGAAACTGCTTCTAAGGAGACTCTGGTGTAGGACCCTAGGACCCTAGAATCAAGCAACCCATAAACACAATCTGCTATGCCACTTGAAGCTCCGAAGCCAGCTGCAGGTTTCCCAGTCCTTATTATAAGGGAATGCTACCATTTGGGGTCTAACATAGGGGTCCCTCATTTTCGTAAACACCCACCTCACGGGCCTTTGGATCGGATCCCTCAGTGCCAGTGTCGCCATGCAGGTACAGGGTTTAGGGTTTAGGGTTTAGGGCTTAGGGCTTAGGGCTTAGGGCTTAGGGCTTAGGGCTTAGGGTTTAGGGTTTAGGGTTTGGGGTTGGGGGTTGGGGGTTGGGGGTTGGGGGTTGGGGGTTGGCGTGTGGGTCTCGTGATGATTGTTGGAGAACCCTTAAACACCCAAACCGTGCACCCTGGGCCCGAACACCACGCGGTTTGGTTTAGGCAGGGCGTTCAAGTCTCAGCGCTAGCAGTTTTGGGGGGGGGATTCATGCTACCGGCTACCAAACACTGTTCAGCCAGGCAGTCGCCAGTTCCAGTGTCCCGGCATCACGTGCGATCACCACTCAGGATCCTATGTCGGAAGCTCTGCGTCACTAATGACCGAATCTGAAAGCACGCACAGAAATCTCACAGTAGCATGAGCTGTGAAATGCCAAGGCTGCTTTACCGTACGTCGGAGGGAGGGGTCTGCAATCTTGATGACGCTGGAGAGCAAACGCACGCAGAGGGCGAAGGGCTGACTCTTGAACCTCTTCTGTCCCTGAACCCTAAACCCTAAACCCTAAATCCTAACTCTAAACTCCTCTTTTGGGCCACATGCAGTATGGCCTGGTCCGGGACATCGTCCACACCTCGTGGTGGACCGAACTACAGCGGTCTTCGCTGGGTTGAAAATGGTGCAGCTGCCTTGACCATTAGCACGAAAGGATGTGAAGCAAAGCAGCGCGTTGCCCTTCCAATGAGTTGCCCTTCGCAGTCTTCGACACATGGGCCTAATCCCAACCCTAAACCCTATGGAATGGTCGAGGAAGCCGAGGCTAGCGGAAAGAGCATGGCCCCACGTTTTCAGACCACGCAGCGTCTGCAAGCAATGATGACATTCATGTCCTTGTAGGGAACCTTCCAAGCCATCGAACCTCTGAGTTGACTACCCTGCCCGAGTCTTCCCCCCCCCCCCCCCCCCCCTAAAGGTTCGGCTCCGGGCTCAGCGATTTCCAAGGGATTCGTAGCCCGTGCGCCTCAGCACGACCTCGAAGTTGCGTTTGCGGAGGAGGCGCGCAGAACGGCACTGCCTGAGAGGCTTCAATCTCTTTGATCCTGCAGATTGCTTCAACAATTCCGAGCATACTCATGCTAGCCAGGCACTGCCACTACCGACTCCAACAGCAGCAGCACCACCGGGAATGGCGGCTAGGAACAGCTCTCTTGCCACATCTTACCACCATTACAAACTGCAAACATATTCCTGTCCGCAGTACAGCATGGAAGACGTGGTGGCCAAGCTACCACCCACGGAGAAGACGCTCTGCCGGCTCGTAGACATCTCTTGAACCTCCGAGTGTGTTCAACCACTTTTTGATGTAAACGAAAGAGAACTTGAACAGACCAAACTGGAAACTTACAGCTGTCGTGCACGAGCCCTGTGAGCTTGACATCCAAGCCTGCCAGTGATGATGCAGGTTATCCAGACCTTGCAAGACACACGATGTCTCACACCCCCTTGGGGTGGGGGAGGGAATCACAGCAGATCTCTTGAGAAACAGCTGCGTGCCGCCCCGGATCGGGTTTCCCTCAAGGCCACGCCCCGTGATGTGGGCGTTGCTTCATGAAAATGCCCTTGTTGAGGGCAGCAACTGGGGCGCTGGCGTGCCCTTGGCCGGTCTGGCCATTTCTGGAGGCGCTCCAGTACCTAGGATTTGGGGGCAGAACGTTTGCATGCTCAAGTGCTTGAGCGCTTGAGTCAAAAGTCAAAATGTGTGGGACTTGGGGGCTTCCGCGGTTCTGGACTGCATGCTTCCTGACCAGAGCAGAAGCCGAACGGAGGGGTGAAGTCTTGAAACGAACAATGCATTTCGTAGCCTTTGGTAGACAATTTAAAAACGTCCTGGGGTACTTCTTACGCCTGTAGCCCCAAGCTTTGGAGGATCCTGCTCCGCTGCCCCACAACATGAAAGATTTCGCCGAGGATCCGCTTCACCAGGGAGGCCTGGTCGCCTCGAGCAGGTGGTCACAGTGGCAGGAGCAGAGTGCGGGGATCTGTGTGTCGCTGGGTCGCTTGCATTCCAAGGGGTATGCCCCGTCTCTGAAAAGCAGGCTTCCAAGGCACCGAAAGCCCCCAAAAAAGCAAGTCCCTGAGTGTAGAAACGCGAAACTTCTCGGGCGCCGGGCCTTGGATTGCCCTCAATGTAGCCCTTGTACTGGCACAGGGGTTTCCACCAGCCAAGGTGCAGTGAGGAAACTGATACGGGTTCCTGTTTAGGGCTTGCTGAGTTTGGGTCTCTCTATACTGCGCGATGAGCAGCTGGGACTTGGCAGAAAAAGAGATGGAATGCAGTCCACCCGTTTGCTCTGAAGCACGTGAATCTCTCCATGCAATCGCTAACTTGACGGCCCATGAAGTCGTCCAACCGAACTATAGAGACATGCTACGGCCGAGGCTACGGGGCGCTGCCTTAAACTATTAAGACCCTAAACCCTAAAGCCTATAAACCCCCAGATTGTGAATGTCCTGACTGCAGCTTCTGGGAATCTAACACAAAGAAACCCCAAACTTCCTTCCACTCACCCAGTGACCCTTTGCCCCCCCAGTCCTGTGGGCTCTCCTCCACCCGGGCGGGCAAGAAACCTGGGGTCCAACCATAGGGGGGCTTCCGAAAATAAGGGATACCCTTTCTGGGGGTCCCTTTAAGGGGATTCTGTTCTATTTGGGGGTATCAAAGGGGTGCCCCTTTTTTGGGACATATTCATAAGGGCCCGAGGGTTCTTAGGGCTTCTCGCTTCTGTGCTGCATCTTCAAGGCTAGAAACTGCAGGGACTGCCAAATGTTTCCCTAAACCTTAAACCCCTAACCCCTAAACCCCTTAAACCCTTAACCCCTACACCCTACACCCCCTAAACCCGCCCCACCCCTCCCCCGCCCCCCGAAGCCCCAAACCCCGCTAAAACCCCCCCTAAACCCCCACTTGAATCCCCACCTAAACCCCCCAGCGCGCGAATGCGCGGGTCTTGCAGCCGAAGCGGCGCATCGAAGGCGCATGGGGCCATTTCACCACCGGCTCCAAGGTTGGGTTGCTCTGAAAGATCAGCTCCTGCCAGGGATCTAAGGGTGTACCCTAAGAACACAAACTTTGGGTTTAGGGTTTGGGGTTTTGGGGTTTAGGGTTTAGGGTTTAGGGTTTTGGGGTTTGGGGTTTTGGGGTTTTGGGGTTTGGGGGTTTGGGGGTTTGGGGTTTGGGGTTTAAGGCCTATGAGGGTTTTTTTACTAAGAGGTTATGGGTTCTCAAGGTAGGGTTTGCGGGCCAAGGGTCGGGAAGTGCCACTGTGTAGCTGAAGCCACCCAACATCTCCCCAGACGCAGCTCCCACCACACCGTGCTTGATAGGAGAAGCTTGGGGGGCTCTAGCGTGAACCCTAAACCCCAAACCCTAAAACCCTAAACCCTCTCCTGCAACGATGGAAGGTCCAAATCTCTCTCCTGGCCCAGGCCATGCTGGAAGGCCTCATGTGACACAGGGGCTCAAAGATGAGGTTACCCAAATTTGGGGGGGGACCCTTTTAGGGTTTTCAGGTTTAGAGTTTGGGGCTTAGGATTTCCCCAGAAGAAGGATTAAAGCATTTTGGGGGGGGGGGACAGAACCACCTCTGGTCTGGTATCCCTTACTTTGGGAGATGCCCAAAACTCTCTGCCCCAAAAAATCTCTTCTGACCCAACAGTAGAGGCTCCAGGAGTCGGGTTATCCTGTGGGTTTCGGGTTGAAGGAGTTTGGGGCCCCCCAAGCCTGCACCTCGCATTGAACCAAACCCAAGGCTCTGGGTAACGGAAGACGACTCCTAGGGTACGGCACCGTACTGCACCAGGGACCCACAAAATAGAGAGCTGCACATCCCAACCTGCGTTTGGGGCATGGTTATTCATGCATCGGACGACGCACGACGCGCTGTTGTTGCGCTGAAGTGGTTACCCTGAAAACTCGTGCACTCAGGCGCGATGCCAAACCTTTCAACATCCGTCACCCAACCCTGATGGCTTCTTGCCAGCACGTAGGATGCTGGGTCCCAAATGCCCCAAACCATAAATCCTAAATACACTAAACTCTACCCAAACCCTATAAACATTAGAAGCTCTAGACCCCAATGCCCCAAATACCACCAAATCCCCCCAGACCCACTTAAGGCAGGTGGCTGCAATAGCTGCAAGAATACCCCGTGGGTTGCCCACATACCTTCAAGCCGGGTGAAGAGCTTGGGGGGTTTCGGGCTTAGAGCCCTAAACTCTAAACCCGAAACCGTTTTCTTTTGTCTCAGACGATGTTGGCCGGGTTTTGGATGGGTTGAGGGTCTTCTGGAAAGTCGAGACCTTCTTGGGATGGGTCCAGGGCGGCTGAAAATCGGAGCCGGGGTCTAAACCCGAAACCCGAAACCCGAAACCCTAAACCCTAAACCCCTTTTGGGGCTCTGTGGGAACACTTGGTGTTGGGGTTGGGACGTCGAAGCGGCATGATGACCGCAATGAGCTGCGAGGCGAAGAAGAGAGACAAGTCACAAGGTTTAGGGTTTAGGGTTTAGGGCTTAGGGCTTAGGGCTTAGGGCTTAGGGTCTAGGGCCTAGGGTCTAGGGTCTAGGGTTTTGGGAAACGATGGGGATGCAGCCTTGCCTCAAAAGAGAGTAAACCTTAAACGCCCTTTGCAGGAAGCCTTGCGCTGGTGCGGTCAAAGCGGACGCGCCACCACATGGCATCTAAGAGCAGAGGCCTCCGCAAAGGGATTCCGGCAGTCCATGCTTTGCATCCAAGCAGTTTAGGGTTTCGGGTTTTTGTCCTTTAGGGTTTAGGGTTTAGGGTTTAGGGATTAGTGTTAATTTAAGCGGCCACTCCACTTTTCGAAAGATGGTCCGTTTTGGAGTCCTTCTTACCGGCGGCCCCGACTTTTCGAACACCCGAAAAGGACCATCATGTAGAGAAGTGACCAAGTAGTGCCGGGTTCAGGGTCTTGGGGATGGGTCTTTCAGGCCCAGGGGTCAAGGAAAAAGCCGGCCATGTTCAATCCCCATCCTTCCAACTTAACTCCCTGCAATGAGTACAGCAATCCTTGTCATTGAACTCTGAGCAGGGCATGTTTCAAAGTGAGGCTATCCTCCAACAGTGGCGGGCAAGAACCGTGGTTTGCTTCCATCTTGGACAGGATGGAGCTTGCAAGGCTTGCAAGGCTTCTTCAGTTTATGTCTTAGCCACTGTGGAGAGCCTTGAGGACCCTCATGCGGCACCAGGCCTATAGGGCTGATCATCCAGCGGATCGACCTTCTCTTCAAAGAAGCTCGACATCTTATCGAGATCCTGCTGTGCTTCAAGGTTCCGCTCAGGGATGGGCATCCGAAGGGATGGAGTTCGGGGACGTGCCACAGACATCGGCATACTTAGCATTTAGAAGGAAAGGGCGAGGCATCCCTCTACATTGAGAGATGCTAGCCACAGGGGACTTCGTCAAGTCGCCAAAGTGCAACATCCTCACCCGAAAGACCAGTTACAAAAGGTGTCGTGAGCAGTGCAGCCGAGATCAATGTCCTTCAGCAGTTTGCACTCCCAAATGGAACCCGAAAGAAACATCCGAGCTTGCCTCCGTAGCCACAAATTCCCAGAACCTCACCGCCCAGCCTGATCTGGCTTGTACCAGAAGACGCAGCCCTCTTTCTCCTTGGCCAGGACCTTGGGCTGAGGCTTTCCCACCCTTTCCCGCCTCTGGGCCCAGTTGCTTGGGACGGATTCTTGTTGCCCTGAGCCCCATAAACCCTCAACCCTCAACCCTCAACCCTCAACCCTCGACCCTCATCTCGGGATGTTCCCCCTTATACTGGCAGTCCTGAAAAAGGGATTATCGTACTCCCTATTATTCATCCCTGTTCAGGGGGAACATCCCAACCCTCAGCCCTAAACCCCATAAGAATCCTAAGCCCCAGCCGACCCAACCCAGGACTTCGGCAGGCCTGAGCTAGCAGGCCGATGCCAGTGAGCTTAAACTCCTAGGGTTTGGGTTCAGAGGTTTAGGGTTTAGGGGGCAGAGGTTAGGGTTCAGGGTTTAGGGCTTAGGGTATAGGGTTTAGGGTTGAAAGTTTGGGGGGTTTAGGGGCTTAGGGGTTTAGGGTTTGGGGGCTTGGGGGTTTAGGGACCTTGAGCTGCTCGTGCTACGACTGGTAAGAGTCGCGCCCACTGGAGGAACTCGTCTGAGAACTCAGACCGATACAGCCTCGGTGGGATTTTTCTGCACGTGCACCGGGTGATGCTATACTACTATATCTTGATACAATCTATGAAATATCTGTATATACAACTGTCTGCTATCGCCGCTATCATGTAGAACACACTAGCATCGGTAGTATTTCGACATATTCTCTTAGATTGTATGTTCTTATACATGTAGAAGACTAATTTTATACCATACTATGTAACCATGTGACTATACAATAGTAATGGATATGAGTATAAACCTGCGGGGCCAAGCACCTGTGTCTCCAGCTATGGGTTTTATGGGTTCGTGGCTTAGTCGGGTTGCCTCCAGACCCTCCACTCTCTTTGTATATATGCATGTATATATATATATATATATATATATTTGATTTATGTTTATTTGTGTATTTATTTATTTACTTACATTATATATATATATACACACATATACATATAACCGGCTGTAATGGTGCCGTAGCCTATAGGGCCTATAGGGGTCCCCACAAAAGGGTCGCGACGTTCGAGCGATCGCAGCTTCGGGCGAGCCCCTGGCGCTGCCAAGCCGGACTTCGGAGCAGAGATCGGCTTGGCCTTTGAGATTGGCGAATCGGGCGGGGGGGGTTAGGGTTTAGGGTCTTGGGTTTAGGGTTTATTTAGGGTTCGGTTTCAGGGTTTCAGGGTTTCAGGGTTTCAGGGGTTCAGGGTTTCAGGGATTCAGGGCTTCAGGGTTTCGGAGCTCAGCAGGGTGCATGGGCATTTGAGGACTCAGGGTGTGAGGGAGTCGCTTCTGATGGGCTTTCCGGTTTTACGGGATTCGGGCAAGGAGTCCGAGGGATTCATTATCGGGGCGAAATCTTCGCTCTCCAACTGTGCGGATGTTTGGCTCAACGTTCAGGACTTAGTGAGAGAGGTTCGGGGTGCTACTGGTAGGGTTCAGGTTTCAGGCTCGGCCAAGCAGAAAGCATCTTGAGTTCTAACTTGGGATGTTCCAAACATAGGCGCTACTGTACTCCCTAATTATTCAGGACTTTTAGTATAAGGGGGAACATCCCCAGTTCTAACCCTCTAGCGCGCCGAGGCCCCCCGCATGACTACCGCACTCCACGCGAGCCCGCAGTCGCGAGCGGCGGACCTCAAATTACGGCCCCTATTTTGGGTACCCTAAACATGAGGGGGGCCGCCTTATCGCAGCAACCCCAAAAGCGACCAGAATTTAGAGGAGTGACCACATGACGCTTCAGTAGAGATTCATAGGTGCCCCTTCGAATTCCTCTGACGCGGAAACCTTTGACGGCCAAAATCGGTTGTTCAAGAGGTGCCACAGCGGCTCTTTGATTGACCCTAAACCTTACACTCAAATCGGTTGCTCAAAGAGGTGCCACAGCGGCTTGGGTTGGTGCTAGTCAGGCCCTCAGATCAAGAAAACCCAGAAGCTCAGGCAAAGCCCAAAGCCACCACGATCTCAGGACTGTGCAGAAGGCGGGTCTTTGAACACCTGGCATCCGACAAGTTTTGCCATCCATTGCTTATGGTTGACAATCCCCTTTGGTTCATACTGTTGTTATCATGATTGCTTAGGGTTTAGGGTTTAGGGCTTAGGGTGTAGGGTTTAGGGTTTGATTGCTGTGCCTGCTCGTAGTAGTATTCCCGGTACTCAGGGATACTCGGCGGACTCTTGCGGGATTTTCTAGGGGTGGGCAACGCAAGGGCACTCGGCAGCGATAGCAGGCTTCGGGACAGGGTTGAGGGGTCGGGGTCCTAAACCTAAGCCCTGAACCGGCCTAAACCATTTCTTGAATCCTTTCACTCTTCTTCCAGCCCAGGCTGAGCGCCCCACAAAGCTCCTCGCGCATCGAAACACCATAAGCGACGACTCCTTCGCAGCCAGCGGCAGCGCCTCTCGCGTGCGTGCGCTGGAAAAGGGAGTTTCGGAGGCCAATGGAGTGCACGTGGATTATGTTCTGGATTACTGTGTAGATTTTGGGGGGTGCTTTGTGTTTTGGTGCTTTTGTGTTTTCGAATGGTTGCTTTATTAGGTGGGTTGAGAAATGGTGTAAAAGCGTAGGGGGGTGTTGAGTGCGCGGTCTGGGGTAAGGACGGTGCTTCGGATTCTATTTTGTGCTGTGCCGTGTTGGGAGGTGCTTTGGCTTTGGATTGTGTTTGGGATTTCGGCGTGGGATTTGGGAGGCGGTTTGTGTGTCGTGGCGGGGTGAGGGGTACATGGAGACTTTTCCCTAAACCCTAAACCCTAAACCCTGCGCCAACAACCCTTGGTCCTTAGCCAGCCTCGAAGTGCTTGCTAAGAGCTGTTGGGCACAGGAAGACGTACCTGACATTTAGGGCTTAGGGTTTGGGGTTTGGGGTTTAGGGTTTAGGGTTTCGGATCAAGGGTTTAAGGTTTAGAGTACCCTGGCATTGGATGCACGCGGTAGAAGGCACGTTCGACCCCGTGCCGGTCTCCTCTAGCTAGGTGGGGCCCCTCAGAAGAAGGATTTCTCTTACTACCTTAGTGCTCATGATTCTGCTGCATCTAGTAGCTAAACCCTGCCGTTGACACACTGCGGGCGATGCTTAAGCACTCAACACCAACAACAAGAACAAGACGACCAATAAATGTACTGAGAAGAAACCGTTGTCATTCAGGACTTCATCGCTCCATTGGGTCCAAGCCACCGCCGAGTAAGATCGATGCGGCTCCGCTTCATCTGAGACAATGTCCTGGCATCCTGCATGTTCTCGGTTGTTTGGTTAAGACCCTAAACCCTAAACCCTAAACCCTAAACCCTAAACCCTAAAGGGCCTCCCCCCACTATGTTCCCAACGGACGGGCTTGAGGGCAGGCTTCGGCAAAGTGTGATTCCTGCCTTCCTACATCTGATTGAACCCTCCCCTTAACCGTACCCAAAAAATTGGCATGGCCCCTGATATGTGGTAAGTCCACCTGAAGTGTGCTTGTTGTTTTTCGTTTTTCTTTTTGTGGATGTATGCAAAAAGAAAGCCCCAAAACCCCAACCCTAATCCCTTCCACCAGCTTCCCCCCGGCCTCGAAAAGGCTGCCTCCCATGTCATCCTGACACATGCCAGGCGCCCAAGTTAAGCTTTGCGTTCCGGAAGTTTAGGGTTATTGTATGTCATTGCGAGAGCACCAAGTTCGATTCTTCAGAGCCACTCTAGCCCTCGATGCGTAGTGATATCCAGGCAGGGCTGTGTTCATGTGCCCTGCTTCCGCATGGCAGACCCAAACACGTAGAGCATCACACCGCCACACCTCCATGGACGGCGCCATGGCTTTCGGTGAAACAGCAGCGTGATGTGCCTATGATGCAATAAATACACCACCGAGTGGAAAGCCTGCTTTGGCATGGTCTGACCTTGGGGTGCAAGGAGTCTGAGTGGAGTGCTTACGTGGGATGTCGCGTGATACCCCCCCCGTCGCGACCAGAACACGAATCATTGGACTAACGATTCAGTTCATCCATAGAAAGCCAGAGCAGCAGCAATTGTCCTAGGATGGCCCTTTGAAACCCTCTGAAAAGATAATTCCTACATATGATCCCCTTAAACCCAATAAGGGAAGATACTAAATATCCCCAAGGCCTACCTAAGTGTCTCAGCAACCGAGGGCTGCAGCTCCTCGCAACCTTCCTAGGTGGAGGAAAGGTGTGCGACAATGAAGAACCCCTGCGCACCACTACGAATCTGATGTCGAGGGGATGTTACGAATGGTGTGTTGGCGGCACCCTCGTCCATTTTGGGTATACTAATTTACTAATATTCGCCATTCCTGTGAGATTTCGGGGAGACAGAGAGGCGAGTCCAGGGGAACAAAAGGAATAATCGGTTGATGGGCGGCTGGCTCCGAGAACTTGGTATACAGTCATCGCGCATGCTGACGCGCTCCTTTTCCCGTGGTCAGTGAAACGGCAACTGTACAGAGGTTTGCACAACAAGCTTGTTCCGAGCCACACAGGACCAGCACCCAGTTCTAGGTATCGTTGCGAGTGTCCTGCGCTCACGGCTGTGTTTGCTGAGTGTGGAGGCGTGCGTAATGGATGCAAGTAGAGCCACGTTCGCTGCTAGCACAAGCGATGAACGTACTTCCCAAAATAGGGGGAGTACACCCCTTACATCCCCCCCCAAAAAAATCGTATCATCCTGAATATCCTTATCATAGAAACCCCCTAAGAGGGTTGGTTGCATGCCGGCTCGCTCGGGGAGCGTGTGGTAGACAAGCTATCGTCATTGGGGGTTCGGGCTTCGGGTTTAAGGGTTAGGCTTGCTCGCTCAGAGCCGCAGACTCTGCCAGCCTGCAGCATGGAGAGAGCTGTCTTAGGGTTTAGGGATAGGGTTTAGGGTTTAGGGATGAGGGTTTAGGTTTTGGGTTTAGGGTTGCAGAAGGAGCATCAACGAATCTTGTTTGAGGCCTTGTTTTCTGGTCACTCTTGGGTCGAACATATCCCGCCGACCCCATTCCGATTTGACAATATGACTACGGCTCCACCCAGTCAACGCGGAACCGGCAACCGAGATACCACCGAGTTGATGAAGATTATGGGATTTGAGTCAAAACTAGATCCGTTTGTTCCTTAGTAGTCCTTAGCAGTTTAGAATACCACAAAGGGTCTTGTTTAATTTCGAACCACCCCCGTGCAGGTGCCTGTATCTGCTGGACTCACCGAATGCTCTGTGGCAAAGTGGGCCTCCATGATCCGACACAGGAAGTCCTGATGGTGTAGAACTTTGGGGTAATGGGGAATGCGGCTACCGTTGAGGGTGTAAGGTATTCGGGTATTAGGGTATTCGGGTATTGTTGTATTCGGGTATGGGGGCAAGGATACTGGGGAATGCGGCTACCGTTGAGGGTGTATATAGGGTATTCGGGTATTGGGGTATTCGGGTATGCACCCGGGTCTTGGCGTATTGCTGTAGGGCAGGGTTGTAGGGTTAAGCGTTCTGGCTTTGGGACGTATGACTCCTGGGTCTTAGGGCCCAGGTCCTATGAGTGCTTATGGTCTGACGAAACTGGGGCGGGTCTTCCCCCCAGATGCTCAGCCTGAACTACACTTAAACCTTTAAAGCCCTAAAGCCCAGAACCATTAAGCCCTAACCCTAAACCCATAACCTAAACCCCAAACCCTAAACACACCCTCCCACCCACCCTCACGGCATCCCCCAGCCGCCTTCCGCCGCCTGAGCGCTGGCGAGGCCCAACTCAAGGCAGATCCCCATGTCCTCAGTTCTGAGAATGTGTTGTGGTTTAGGGTTCTGGGATTTAGGGTTTAGGGTTTAGGGTTCTGGGGTTCAGGGTTTAGGGTTCGGGGGCTTCGGCTTGACGGTTCTGGGGTTTAGGGTTCTGGGGAGTCGGTTTTCGGGCTTTGGGGTGCTGTGGGCGTAGGATTTGGAGCTTGGGGCCTGAAGGTTTTAAAGTTTAGGCTCAGGATTCAGAATTTGGGTTTTTGGGAATTAGGGGCGTACAGGGATTTAGGGCTGTCCAGGTTAGGTCTCGGAGAAAGGGTTTAGGGCCAGTTTAGGGCTTTGGTGGCTTCTAGGCGAAGCGCTGCGAGCGCTTCGGGTCATGGGAGGCTTTAGGGATTGATCAGCGAAGGATTCTGTGCAATGACAAGGCTACTGGTAGCGGCAAAAGTCTTGCGGCCCACAACACACTACACTACACCCTCGTTGGTTACAACCCTAAACCCTAAACCCTAAGCACCTAAGCCCCTAAGCCCGAAGCCCGCCCTCACCCCAAAAAACGACAAATAAATCGTCAGTGGCCTCGCAGCGCAAAGGACGACGTCTTCGTCGCCTCCAAGCATCGCTCATTTTCGAAGTCTTCGGAATGAGTTCAGGGATGGTTTAGAGAGGTTGGGGTACGTGTATATGTATGTACAAACATATGTATATGTGTATATATAAACATTACGAAGAAAGTTCGATAGAGAGAGAGAGAGAAAGAGATTGTATACATAGATACACACATGTATACATACATACATACATACATACATACATACATACATACATACATACATACATACATATGAGCTATGAAAACAGAAAGTGCGGCCCTCGGGGAGTAAGAGTATATCTATGTAAACTACATAGCACCACAAGGTGTGTCTGAGAGGATAAGCAGAATGCCTCAAAGTCGCATGCAAAGCGTAACATGTGGAGCCTCGCAGCGTCTCTGCCGCATAGCGGAGAGCCTCACCACGCTTGGCCACGGCAGTGAGGACAAGGCCCTGAGAGAACTGGCACTTGGGATAGCGTGGCCCGAGTTTAGGGTTCTGGGTTCATAATCGGCTTTTGGGATATCTGCAGGGGTAGCCGCTTTTGTGTTTTATCGATATTCAGACATCCCCGTAGAACAAGGACCATCCAACGTTCCAAGGTGCGCATCTCTGCGCCTGTGGGGGCTTCCCGAAAGGTTTAGGCCTTAGGTTGGATACCTGTTCTGGGGGTCCCTGCCAGAGGTACTGTACTTGGGAAGTATAAGGACGTCCCCCATGTTTTTGGAAATTCCCATGCAAACTAAGCACCTTGTCCTCCCGCAGCTCATGCGCCGCACCGGCAAGCGACGATCCGTGGCCTGGAAATGTTGGGACTACTGCGGCCCTACTAGGGAGAAGGAGCAATTGCGCTTGTGAGCTCAGCTTAGGCTACCTAGGCAAGACATTCTGCTGTATCTATCTTTCGCAATGAGCACACGGCGTGCCTATTGACATAGCTGTCCATGGTGCGACCGTGATCTCTCACGTCGTCACAACTGAAAATCATGACTCCGGCAACCCTGAAGACCTCAGGCATCCAAAAACATCTAGCTCTAGACTACTTCCAAGGCTGCATGGCCATTCTTTTCCTTCTTCTTCTACTCAGCGAAGAGGCCACCGGAAAGGCGACCCCGCCCGCTGTCCTGCCCGTTCGTAGTGAAACCCACCTGTTCTCTCTCTCTCTCTCTCTTTCTTCCTATCTCTCCCTCCCTCTCTCGCTCGCGCTCCGCTCCCTCTCTCTCTCTCGCTTTCTCTCGTTCTCTCGCTCTCTCGCTCTCTCTCTCTCTCTCTCTCTCTCTCTCTCTTTTCAGGATCTGTCTAAACACCACATGGACTAGGATCAACTGAAAACAACGCGAATAAAGCTCTACACTCTACACCCACCGAGGCAAAACCAGCCTCAGCCTCCTTCAGGTTTTGACATAACCAGCTGCAACCCTGGTAGTAAAAAGCCCGAACGGACAGACAACTTGGTCAGGTTCACTCAACCTTGTGGGCAACCCCCAGGGCCCAAGCAAGTCTGATGTTGGTCGCAACATCTCAACCCTGCACCCCCGAACCCTGAACAGTGAATGCCTAGCCACCCTAAACCCTAAACCCTAAACCCTAAATCCTGATACCCTAAACCTAAAACTTGCAGGCCATGGGCTCTTCACGGCCCTGGCGACGACGGTCCGATCTCCACGGAGCTCGGCGCCAGCATGGAAGAGCGCGAGGCCTCTGGGTGAGAGTTGGGGGCTTTGGGGGGCTTTGGGGTGGTTTGGGGGAATTTCTGGAGGTTTGGGGGGGGGGGGGTTTTGGGGTGTTTGGGGGGGTTTGGGGTCTTTGAAGGGGTTTGAGAGGTTTGGGGGGTTGGGGGTTGGGGTGGTTTTGGGCAGGGGCTTGGGAGTTAGCAGGTCTTTGGTTTTGGGCTTGTCAGTGGAGGCTTGTGCTTGTGGGCTGTGGCGGTGGGCGTGTGGCATGTCGAGGGCAGACATCGAGCACCGCGCCATCGTTCGCTACGGCGGTGAGCACAACTTCCTGCACTGCAGAGCTCTCAGCCATTGCTGAGATAGCTGTTGAAAGTAGAAACTCAGTAGCCATGACCCTCCCTGATCATGCAGGTGCGAGAAGTCTAAGGCGCATGCCCTGAACCCTTAATTCAGCCTAAGCCCTCTTCTGGGCAATCGAGCACTGAAGTTCATCCTATAGCAGCTAACAAAACCGTTCTCTCAATGTTGGTGCCTTTGGGTCTCTTAAAGTACATGAGGGTTGCCTTGGGGGCCCCACACAGGAACGATAGTTGGCCTACTGAACGTCCAACGCTGCATGCGTTCGAAGTTCAAGGTGGGGCCGGGAGTCTCCATGAAGAAGGCCATGCTCGAACCATCACAATACACGTGGGGTTCTGCGATATTAGGGTACATGTACCTTATTGGGGTCCTTACTCTAAGGTGATCCTACCACTTGGGGTATCTATTCGGACTCCCTTCCTAGCGTAAACCCCAAAGGTTTTAAGGTTTTGCGTGTTGTTCCC